GTTCAAGTTCTTTCAGAAGAAATCATCATGAAAGCATTGGCCCCGCCAATCAAACGATGTGAATTTGAAACAGACTGAATTATCCACAGTTGCTACGTACCCCCCCCATAAGTCCAAGGCCCTCCTCTAGTTTGACAACTAGCATGCGTATGTATACACAAATATGTGTTGGTCTCAGTCAATTAGCGTTATTAAAGCAGTTACGGTCGGAGGTAGCTAAATGCTTTTAAGGCATCCACCTGTTCCTAAAACCCTGATGCGGGGCCTACCTGTCACTGTCATAGTGGGCAAAACAGGCATTCATCTGTTCAGTGTCCTGAAGATGATAATTACCGCCTCCGAAGCCGCTCCATTGCGCCATCCTCCAGTCTGCGACCGGTACGTGTTCAAAGGTCTGCCACAACAACTGGACGAGAAATGCTATCGTTGAAACAGCAATTTTTAACAGAAGTCATTGCAGGCTTCATGTAGCAAATGCTATCAATAATCACAAGGTATTATGATAGCTGTTGGGTTTGGTCAAAGTGAGAAAATTGGACCTGCTCCACAAAACACACGGATAACTTCCGTACAACTGTTTTAGGTATGTAAACCATCGGCAACATGGCACACACAATTTGTTGCCATGCTCGCGTTCCGTTGAAGAAAATGCAAATCAATTATATGACTGCAATTACGCATATGATGAGTGGCTGCACTCGGTATGTCGAAAAAGGAGGAATCGGGCTTCGGTTTGTACACGATTAAAGGTGCGTGAAGGCGACCCGGCAACAAGGGTCATCGTGAATAATGCCTATGCTGCATTTAGCATGACCGATGGGCCAATCTGTACAGCTGGTAAGTCTAGGAACAAGACCGTTAGTGACATCAGAAGTCGATCACGTCACGTTCAGCATGTTCAGTGTGTTGTCTGTGGGTGCGTTCAATTAGCTAACACGTGTAAGTCATATTTCCACGAGAGCGTTAGTTTAGCGATCACGTGATTTTCGTGCCTGTCCTGGTGTGTGCCACCTCTGCCCCAGCTGGCGAGCGGGTCTGTGGAGGCTGCCCGTGTCTAATGACGTCCGGATGGACTGTTTGCGCATGGACATGATGGAACGTAGCGGGGCTTGACCTTTTCCCCAGAATGCCTGGGAGTGCAGTGTCACGGTCCCAATTCAAGGAAAATTCTCCGCCAGGTCGAGGCGCACAAAAAGTACCCCCCAGAGATTGTTTCGAAAAGAGGGGTCTGTTTGGGCCAAGAAATGGTGCGATTGTGTCAGTATGGCCCAGGATCATCTCTGTAGATTCAGGGGCACCCATCTGGGGGCAAAGCAGACAAAAATGGGATTGAAAATTAGTCAGAAGAGCCCCTGGTAGGTGAGGGATGTCATTTGAAAAATGGCCGCTGGGAGGGCTTGGCAACATTGACTTTTTGGGGGTGAGTTTGTTTTGGGCGGATAATTAAAAAAATCATTGGTTAACCTACTAAAAATTGAAAAATCAAATGAAACCTGAAAGACCAAACAACACATTGTTTTTTGTTTGAGAGGCCTCAGGGACTTCAGTTGCCTGCTATGGGGCTCCAAACTTGGTTGATTTTACACTATTTTCAATAGAGCTTGAATTGGTTCAGTGCACCCCTAGGCGAATACACTGCAGCGTTCGATTCGCCTCGTTTCGGGGTCCAGTACACTAATTCAAGCCCCATTGAAAACAGTGTAAAATCAGCACTATTCAGGGCCCAATAGCATGGCAACATCCCTTAGATTTCTGAAACACAAATTAAATTCTTGTCTTGTCACTAATCTTTCAATTTCTTTTCAATTTTTTGTGGGTTAACCAATTACATTTTTAATTATTCCCGCAAAAAAAAATCGCCCCCCAAAAAGTAATTTTTCCGAAGTCTGATTGCAGCCATTTTTCAAGTGGCAACCCTCAACCAACTTTCTCGGGCACTTACGACCATTTTCAACCGTAATTTTTAGCCCTTCTGCTCTCATATGAAAGCTCAAAGACCCAGGGAGTTGATCCCGGCAACGATTTACACAATCTCACCAATTTGGGGGCCAAACAATCTCCTTTTGAAAAGATACTGTGGGGGGGGCACTTTTAATGCTAATGAGCTGGCCAGAAATTCTCACTTGAATTAGTGGTCTGCACCCTTCAAGGCGTCCCTTGCGTGTAACACTGGTGTCGCTTGAGATCACACGATCGTCACGATGGCGCTCTTCAGACTGTCGGTTGAGTTTAATAGATAGCCAGTTCAACTTACTTTATACGCTCTGATTTCAATATTCACCATTTCAAAGCTTCTGCCTCAATGTTACATCGACACTATCGCTACATTGGAATCCGACTTACACGTATAGGAAATAGTCGCGAGAGTTGTAAAATTTGGTTCCGAGTGATGTGGACAATATGCAATAATTTTGAGCCACTCATGGTCGCTGTAAATGTAACTGCAAAATGCTCAGGAATTTCGCCATTTTAATGAGGATATAAGATGAGTAAACCTCCCCATCAGACATCTAACTTCACCAAGGAGGCATGTATGAAATTTGGTTGCACAAATTGCTGTGATGGAAGAACAATTAAAACAGCCCAAATGTGTGTATGGGAGTTTGTACATGGCTATCTGCAAGGTTTGCAACAACGTCACAGTTCTAGAAGTACCCCAAATACTTGTTTACATCCGCGGCAGGTACATGGTGGGTAACGGTTTGAGAACACAGCGCAACATACACAGCCCAAAAGGCACTGAGCCGTTACGATTCCAAAAAATTCCAAAAAAGTTCAAATCAAGGAAAAAGGATGTAGGTGACATTTCCTCAATTGTTTGGCAAAAAAGTAGAAACAGGTGTGTACTCCAAGTAAGTCAAGTTTATTGCTTCCGGTAAGACTTTTACATTTGCGTATTCTACATTAGTTAGTAAACACCAAGCTTACCGTGCTAAAAACTTCAAGTCAAAGTCAAGCCCGCCGGAGCTGAAATGAGTTACATGTATTTGTTGTTTTCTGCGACACGCCCAGCACAGACCACGCTTGTCGTTGTGCGTTAACCTTTGTGACGCTTCCCCACTATGTACTGTGTCGTATCCAAGGCGCGCTACTGAGGAGGGCCGCTATGACAAAATTGCACGATGGCGGGCGAATGGCTGTGCCTTGTGCAGTCCAGCCATGCAGCTGATTAAATAAACATGCTCTATAATTCCAGCCTATTGTGGTTGAGATCAGTGGTCCAGCCATTGATCCCTTTATGAAGACTGGACTGGACCAATGGATAGGACATAGTGCATTGTGTGTGTACAAAACGCGGGGCCGAACAATAGCGACACACTGCGCTGCATAGGGTCAATATATTGTTGCGTTCCCTAAATACCAAGTCGCTGGTAGCATGGACTTTATTAGTGTTTACGGGATGTGATATTTGGGGTCAACAATTTATTAAAAGGTGGACGTGAAACAAGGGGTTTGGGTGACAGTCAAACTGTTTGGTTGGTTTGTTGCTCTCACTTCTCTTCATCAAAGTTCAATGTGGGTTTGAAAAAGGTGTAGCTTAACATAATACAACACACAAAAAGCAAATTTATAGAGAGGCGAAGTTGTATACGAGTGTAACTAAACTGCAGTTTGGCAGGACCATTGGAAATGCAAGTCAGAAGAAGTGGGTTACGGTACCTGTGCGTAGCATCGCACAGCTAGGCTACACTCGCCGGGCCGTGGTGGGAGCTGTCCCGGACCACCATGGTCACTTGCAAGGGCTGGACGGGGCCAGCGCCGGTGTGTACCGACCGCACTGCCGCTCAGACCGCAATGTGTTGAGCACAATGATGAGATCGCCGCACTATGTACAGCGCTAGTTAACAGGACAAGGGTGGCGAGGGACACAGGGGTGTCTCGCCCGGCAATCGGTCCGGGACGTGGCGGTAACGGGCCACTACGACTCTCACTAGCACCCTGGGCTAATTCGTACCGCTCTCGCATCGGTCCAAACTAAGCTAGCTGGCCATTCATATGGTTACATTTCTTCGCCATAAGAATGGTTACTATCGCACTTCTCTCGGAGAGGTTCCGCTCTCGCAAGAAGGGTTTGGTCCGCCGCACTTGACCGACGAGCTAAGGAAAATCTGCTCTATTCATAGGATTCTAGAGGCTTATAGGAATTAATAAAATATGAGCGTCGTTGAACAGCTCAACCAATGAAAATCTTCCATCTCAAAGGGTCACATGACTTCCTGCCGGAGTCGTGTGCAAGAATCTAAGTGTCGCGTGTAAAAAGGTAAAATAAAGAATAAGAAGTCACGCGTACAAAGTGTAGAGCCGGGTGCGTGAAAGTGCTTACCCGGTCATCTGTGGCGAATGATTGACAGTTACAAAGTCTGAAGTTTTTGGACATTAGCATTTCAGGGGGCCCAACCACGCAGCCACATGGAGGGGAATTTCGACATGCCAAAACTGAGCAGAGAAAATACAAAGACAAAGGAGCGAAGGAACATGCGATCACGCCAAAGTACAGCATGAATAACTTAATACAAAATGAGCGTCTCTGCTATATGTCCATAATGCATAGCTGAGCTAAATAAGAGACCCTGAGAAATGCAAGGACCGAGAACGAGTAAAACTAGGGGGCGCTAGGATTCCACGATTTGCAGGAGCGCAACACTGTATCTATTCACTTCGTGTATAGGGTGCACCCCTATAAATAAACTCCCAAAGGCACCAGAGATACATCCCTATACTCCAGAATTAAATACTCACAACTCCCACAGGTGTCCTAGCCGGACAGAAAAATAATACCCGACATGTCCTCTCTCATTTTCCTTTAAAGTTTTAGGGTTGACTAATGAATTTTTGAGAAATTTTCACCCAAAGCAGACCACCCGTAAATTGAGGGAAATTTACCTGCCTAGAAAACTTCATGGCCATTTTAAGTTGGAAATGCATCCCTCTGCAAAACAGCTAAAATAGTACCACTTTCGGACGCGGTTGCATCCACGTTGCTCAGAATTGGAAGCCCTCAGTCCAGGCCAGAGGTTCAGTGCCACATTTCTTCCATTACCAATTCCAGGCTCTCGGGACTCTCTAAAATAGAATATTTTGAACGTATTATCTTTATTAATGAGCTCGGCGGACACATTTCTGGCCTATTTACGGGGGTTCCCTACGGTATACAAGCACGTAATGTCAGTGATCATGTTTTATCTCATGAGATGTAAAGTGCCCCCTCCCCCGAAAAATTGGACCAATTTACGACTTTTCATATCCTTCCTTCCTCTTTGATTTTTAACAAACTAATGGTGAATAACTTTAATTAATTAATAATTAATTAAATAATAATAATTAATAAATAATTAATGACAAATTAATAATTTGTACACAATCATGTGAGGAATTACATCAAATTCATTCACATGCTGGGTAAGTCTAATTCAAAGTGACAGTAAAACCAAATTTTGGTATGATGTTCGTAAAGACATACGTTGTAGTGTTTCCTGTAAAAGAATAAATGATGATTCTTTATGGGAGTGGAGAGTCTTTTCTTTTTTTGTCGAAAAAGCAACAAATTACCGCGAAGAAATTTACAAATTATTGAACGCCGGTACTGTGGTGAGGCCCCAGTATGGGTTAAGTACTTCCCAAATTCTACTGTCTGACCAAAGATGTAAATTGTAAATGAGGCTAAGGATCATTGACCGTCTATCAAGCAAGAACTTAGAGGTAGGTAACTGTTTCTTTCATTTTTTTATTTATTAAGTTCTTTCTGGTGATGGTCGCTGTGAAATGTGATTTATTTGGAAGATTCCGATCGATCCACTTATTTCTTCATGAGCATTGTGAACTTTGCCAAGTTTGTGACTGGCTCTGTGTGAACAAAGATTCATTTCATTTCATTTATTTATTTGATATCATTTTGTATCCAACATTATTGAAATACATTGAAATTTGTTGTGGTTTGGCGAGCGTTAAAAATTTGACAATCAAAATATAAATATAAATACAAAACAATAATAAACGACGCTACAAAAATTTACACCAAATATACAACAGATAACTTCAGACAGCATGAGTACAATAACGATTGATAAATAAAATGAGATGAAGACAGCACTAAAATCTGATGAATTACTGGTTAGGACTTTGATCGCACCTGTACATGTAGATTCAAACGAATTGCACTTGGGTAAAAACTGCCATTGGGTTTGCAATCCTCCGTTGTACATACATCGAACTCCATTAACAAGGTGAACTGATTTATTAATTGAGAATTAAAAGCACTATATGAAATATACGTGTAAGACCTGCAGGGCCCTATTCATAGAACTGCTTAAGCACAAAATTTGCTCAAGCAGGAAAAAAATTTGCTTAATAAACAAAGATTGCCAGCTCAAACTCTATCTGATTGTTATGCTAACCAAAAAAAAAATAATAATAAAATAAAACACCTAAATACAATCCCAAAACAGAATACATCACATGGAGGTTTGGCTGGTTACCTGATTTATCAAGTAAGGTTTTCTCAAGCTTAAGCAAATTTTGTGCTTAAGCAGCTCTATGAAATTGGCCCCAGCTATCAGTTTGATTAATGCCCAGTAAGTGACTTCGTCACAAAGATGGACGCGCCATGATTTGCAAGCTCCCATTGGACGATCGCTGAAGTCTAGTTGCGCGTTAACTTCCGGTTCCATAGTTCCATGTAAACGGCGACCAGTTCATGTATGTGCAGTGCATGTGCACTGGGCGTTGTTAAAACTGAAGTGACGTCACATTACGAACCGGATAATAATAGACTAACAATGCTTGGTAGTGCTATGTATCATACACGCAATACGCACATATCATAAATTTAGCCCCTGGCGTCGTGGATTTTACACTTGAAGTCATAAAATTTAATGAGGATATATGTTGATCATGGTAAAACGTTCCACTGTAGGAACTAGTAGTTAATGTGGCTCAGACCAATGCGGTTAAAACTGTGTGAAATGAGGAGACTGCAAGGCCTAAAAGCAAAGGAATGCTAAAAATTTTAATTGAGTCCTTGCATGTCTTCGTTACAAATTTAAGGTTAATAATTTCAAACTGTGGTAGGCATCATTAAAAGGAATGGATCCCAACGAAACGTCCATGAGCACAATTACTCGTTCCTGTGTTTCGTTTCGTTTCCTGTGGTATGACAGTGACGGTATAAATTACCTAATTATGCAAAAATAATGCTTTTCATTTAATTGCGGCTACATTTCAGTCTGGAAGTAACGAATCCTTATATTTGCAATGAACTTCAAACAAGAGAAAATAATGTCTAGCACTATAGTATTTCTATTATTATTTATGTGCAGTATATTTCTACTCGACTCTGTTATACGCTGTACAAGAGTGCGTGACCGAAAACTTACCCTTGCTATTGCCGAACCTTATGACTGAAGTACGCTCAGCATGCAATTAAGGCAGATCTTTTAAACATTGGCACGCCTAAAAATTGAAAGACCTTCAGTATGAGTGCGTCCGGGAGCTAAATTTAACAAATGATTTTGTTGTCATAACCGTTCGTGGCCGCTCGTGTGTTGGCCCATGCGCACTGAGCACGTCAAAGAGAAAGTCTCCATTTTCGCAGACGTACCTCGTGAAAAAATCAATGGCCATTTTGCAAGAAGAGCAAGTCCGATTTTCATAAAGTAAGTGCCAAAATGACCGTAAGCTATCCTTGGGAAAAAAGAATCAATACGGTAAAAACGCACTGAGACAAAATGGTCTCTTTGGTGTTGGAATAAGTAATTTTCATCCTTTTTTGTTGCAGTTGTACACTACTTTTATTGGATAAATCACTCTTTAATTCAATCAATCGGCTCACTAAACCAGGGATGCTCTGCAGTGATCAGGTCATGAATGTTAATTAAGCATTTACGAGGAAGCAGTTTCTTATTCGGTGCATAGGCCTATAATGAACTACCAGATTACACAAGGACCCATGTTTAGTCTAGATTTCTATCGCCATTGCCTTGTATTTTAGATTTTTATCACGGCCGCCTGTTATTCCTTATTTACATTTCTTCGTCATCATAATGCAATACCCTGCTTGGCAAATAACACGAAATACCCTTTTACAAGATTTTCGCTCGTAACGCAGATGAAATCTAGGTGCTTAAAACGAGCGATTCACAATAGTGCGCCTCCAAGAGCTTGCAACGCGTTCACAATCACGATGCGCGAAATATGTCGATCCAGTGCGCGTCTGGAAAGGGTCGACAGTTTCCACGCGTTGTGATTATCCAACGCGTTAAGCCCTCGTAGGCACACTGTTTTGAATCGCCCGTATTGTTCACAGAACTGAACTTGTAAACGGAGAAACCATGTGGCGTACGTCTTATGATGTACACGTATGTAAACCGTTTCGTGCACGTATGTGGGTAGGACCTTTCGCGTATACGTCTGTTCTGTCTGATCGATTGAACTTAGTACGAATCCGGGTCACTGAACAATTCTGTCAGGTTGAAGGTTGTTTTGTTAACACGCATAGGACAGTACAGTAAAACCCTCTGCTTGGCACAAAAAATCGAGTTACTGAAGTCGGGAAAAATGGCTGTTGCGGAGGTTATCACTGAAAACGTGGGATTGGCTCTGATGTTCATAGTCACGTTTGTGGCTCTTCTGCTTTACCAGAACACAAGGAGGCCGGCGGGGTTTCCTCCAGGACCTCTCGCACTCCCCATCATCGGCAATGTACTCAGTAAGTTGTGTTATCACAGTGGACTATCAATCTTTGATCAACAGTGACATGGAGTCTTTACACATACCGTTGCGGTTGCGTGACAGTTAATGCAACAATCTTGCCAAGGCTCTTTTTTTAACTTTTTAACCTGCCAGTGCAGTCGATGACAGTGTTGCGTCTTACGGCTAAAATGGCTATGCCGGGAAATCATACCGTACCAAAGCTGTTTACATCAAACTCTGACCTATTTTTCGCTTCGTTCAGGCGGATGTACGCCACAGTTTATGCTGCATGACAATGTTCATATCGAAACAAATATCCATGTCATACCGGTACTTGCAAGAGCAGGTCCGATGTTCAGAAGCGGAGACCCCATGTGTTCCGGAGGCACCAGGACCCGTTTAAAACAATTCTGGACAACCAGACGATATTACTTAATTAACGGCCATTCTGAGTAGGTCTTGACTGACATTGCCGGCGGTGAGCTTTTGATGAAGGCCCAGATAATGTCGGTTGAAAAACGCACAGCATTCCTTCCATCCGTCCAGCACATAAAATAATGGTCTCGCATGGACTGGGGACGGAATGGTGGGATTGCATGGCAGGTGTACGTTTTGACCAATGGACTTCCTAGGTTAATCTTTGAAACAGTTCAAAAGCACATTTCAAGGTGGCACTGAATTGACTTTCCATGCCTGTGCATGGTGGATGATCCATTCCGGCTGGTTTTGCGATAAAATGTTCACTTACCACTCAGCATAGCCTTTGATTAAGGCGCCTGCAGCGAAATGGATAGTCGCTCAAGAGCGAGGAGCTGGAGGAGACAAGTTTAAGCACCAAACCAACGCACGAAGAAAGAATACAGGCGCCTTTGGAGCTTTGTCTTCAGTGGTTTATCTAAATTATTCAATATGCTAATGTTTATGAATTATTCACATTTCTCTGAACCAATCGTATTTTGGGGGCTAATTAAGTAGGCCCAGCATGGCAAGGCTACTTTTGTCCATGAAGTCTTTTATGGTGTTTTATAGTCGCCAAAATTGCGTCCAGTCGCGTCGTCCCATCGCCACGACGCGATGCTACGACAGCTCCGTCGCGTCGTGGCGTTGCCCCTTTTTTCATAAATTCCATGCTGTATGCATTGTGTCGTACCGTCTTTGTGTTTCGTAGTGCCGTCATGGCGTCGCGTCGTGTTGTTTCTTGATGCCATTGCGTCGTGCTGGCTCGTCTTCGTGCCGTCGTAACGTCGCGTCTCTTGTTATTGTATGGTATTTATGCGGTGAGGGTTAGGCCGTCCCGTCCTGCAGTCGTACCGTGCTGTTGCGTCCTGATGTCTTGCCATCGCGTCGTGTCGTTGTCCGTCGTATCGTGCTGTCGTGTCTGACTGTTTCTAAAATGGCGGGTGATTAATAAGGCCAACAGAGGGCGTTTGTCAAAAGTCCTGGAAAATGTGCGTTCACTATAGGTACGTTGCACTACACCAAATACGCACCCATAGAAAACAGTGCAAAATCAGACCGAAAGAGTGCCGCCTGTTGACTCTCGGGAAGGGGTTGTCCTCTGGTTTTTTTTTCACTAGAAATTCAAAATTAAGGCCAGAAGATCACTTCTCTTTTCAATTTTATGGGGGTTAGCCACGTGAAATTCTTTTATTCGCCTTTCCCTGAAGACACCCCAAAATAGTGGCAAAACTACGCGCTCAGCTCTGAATGTAGCCGCCCGTCTCTATCCAAAATGGGTCCACAGTTTTGGGCTTTTTGTGGAAGAAATACCCCAGAACTGGAAACCACTTTTGGGATTTATAGAAATATTTCTATGACCCCTCCTGATTATGGCATGTCTTATTGTAAAAGCCCCGTAGGATCACAAAATGTTAACGAGCTCCTGCCCAGAAATCCAACAATTCGGTGGAAAGCACCCATAGGGCCTACAAGCTTTGATCATGAAAAATGAGAAGTGAACTCTACTCCTTCTCTAAGGGCGCCCCCCTATTTCTGCCAGTAAAGAGGCAACAGCAAGAGCATATTGCGACGGCACGACGCGACGGCACGACGGAACGATGTGTTCTCGATATAATTGTTTCCTCAATGCATAGAACAGGGGTCCAGAAAGTTTAGGAAGTTTCCATTCCGGAGAATGTCTAGCTTGGAAGCCAGGCTAAAAAATAACAGTTGAGATGTAGGTTGGATCGTGCCAATCTCAATGCAGACGAAACCTAAAATGCAAATACTTTTAGACAGCTCTGAAAAAAATGTGCTGGCCTTGGAAGGTCTTGACTAGCGATTACAGTTAACTTTGCTGATTTCAAGCAAGCTTTGACCCACAATGGAATCACACAATAATTTGGATGATCCAAGCTTTCAGGTCTTCCGAACCAGTATATCAGATTTTCCTGCAACTTGCGGAGCAGTACGGCCGTGTATTTTCCCTGAAGCTCGGCAGCTTGTGGGTGATTGTCTTAAACGATGTGGAAGACATCCGTGAGGCTCTCATCAAGCAGCCGATCGCCTTTGCCGGTCGCCCCCCTTTATATTCACGTAAGTACGGGCATACAACATTCCTGTAACTTTTAATTCCCACTTGTTTTGAATTGCCATTAAATAACATGTATTCTAAATACACAAACATGTTTGAGGTTTAAACATGGAGCGTTCAGTGAACAGGAGAAAACCAGAAGAATCAATATTACTTGGAAGAGTCACATAAAGATGCTGGTCGCTGTTGTTTCAAACAACCAATGTATCTATGAGATTCCCCGGCACAAATCGCTGAATGTTAAAGTAAAGGAGCTTTGGTCACTGAACTAAGCTTGCAGAACAAGCTGCCTATGGAATAGTAATCACGGCCCGGTCATAAGGATAAAGGACACCTTTGACTACAGATTACTTATGAGAGCATAGTTTAAATTCCGCCATGACCTATTGTAAAATGTGTTCACGATTCTGAGACTTTTGAAACACAATTACGCGGTTGCACAGAGCATCTGTGTCCTTGGTCTGTACACAGAAGAGGCTCCAGACGAAGACTCCCTGCACACTAGTTCAGTATGTCTCAATTGACTTTGGGAACGTTCGTTTGTTTATTTGTTTTTTGTTTGTTTCTTCGTTTTTTGGGGTGTTGGGGTTGTTTGTTGGGGTGTTGGGTTGTTTGTTTGTTTGTTTGTTTGTTGGGGTGTTGGGGTGTTTGTTTGTTTGTTTGTTTGTTGGGGGCGTTGGGGTGATTGTTTGTTTGTTTTGGTGTTTGCTTATTTATTTGTTCTTGCCCAGTAACCTCCAAAACCCACATTAAAGAAAGCTTTGGATCCATCAATGCTGTATTAAATTAAAGAAACGAGTAACCTTTGCCTCAAGTGGCTGATCATCATTTATCTATCAAGGCAAGTGTATACAGTTAACCACCGATTGAACTTTGTAATAATATGCATTATTCGACAATTCGTTTTGGAAACGCAGTCAGTTTGCTCACGGAAGGGCTGCAGGACATCGTATTCAGTGATTACAGTGAAGAATGGAGTCTCCATCGGAGACTTGGCCGATCAGCATTAAGGTACGCGTCCAGCTAGCGTTAAACTTAAACTCCATAGCGTTAGAATGCAGACTTTTCTCGTCCACATTCAGATAGCATCATTTATGTTCAGGTGCTTCCGGTTTTGTCACCTAGTAAGATGTATAATTTTATTCTTTTGTTGGCTGCCCTCATGCAACACAATGGTGCTCCTTTTCTATGCACTTGTTTAGGGTGTCCATGCATTTTTTTCAAAGTGACTGCCAACATTCAAGCCTGCATGATCCGCCCAGGACATTCCTCTTAATTGACTCGTGACATGTTGCGTAATGTTCTATTTATATACTTGGTCTCATGAAATTCTTTGGTCAGGGAACCAGACTACACTTGATGCACTTTGTATTGTAGCGTGTCCTGCTTATTGGGCTCTGACGCTTTCACAGATACATGCAGTCTATACCCAGCAAGAAATGAGACCGAGGGGTACCCCCACAACATGTCCAATCCCTATACACATTCCAGACTACTGTTACTTAACACATCCCCCCAAGATGTCTGAAAGGAATTCCCCAGTTTCCTGCGAGACAATGACCAACACAAAGCAGGGGGGTTCTCTCCGTCTCATACCTTGCTGCATATGATGCAGTCAGCCACGAATCGCCGTTCCGGGCAGGAAACCTCTGTTTTATTTCTGTTGACGTCACAACACTGTTTGTCACACAAAGCTTTAGACACGAGGCGTCTCGGCGGGGACTGCGCAGGCGCGAGGCAGGAAAACCGCAGGGCAGCCAGCTAACTCCATGCGGGTCCGAGCTGGCGCCCCCACCGGCCGGACCCGCCGGCGCTACAGTGTTATTAATTTAGGCGTGCAATGTTAGAATACCGAACTGGCTCGTTCTGGTTTTCATATTGCTGACCTAGTTCCCCAGAGCCGCGCACTTGTTCCCTGCAGGAATCAACAGTACACATCAAGATTGTGTGTGAGTTGGACGTACCGAGCCGAATGGTTTTGCACAATAGGGCTTCCGTTGTCTGCACGTAGAGACACACACAGTGCAGCTTGGTGCTGTATCTTGAGACCTCATCAGCATGGCAGATAAGCACGATGACAGTAATTTTGATCGCAAAAACCTTGAAGAAAATTTCTCTGCCACTCTCAAATTGGTACAACTGCCTGCATCTGGTCTCTTGAGATTCCCTCCTAAAGGCATACAGCGTTTCCTTTCGAATGACCCTACGAACGCTGCCATTTTGAACATTAGTAAATGCTCCTCATTTTCAAGCTTGCCCTGACCCAGTCTTGAAAAATGTCAAGTAAATACTCCAATTCTGCAGAGCTTACTCATTTTTATTCACACAAAAAGAAGCAACTATTTATTGTCAAGCACAAGCTTAAAGAGTAAAAAGTTAATACTTTTACTTTTTAGCAATTACACTAAAGTAAAAGCATTTGCTTCATTATTATTCATACAAACACCAGTAAATGCTTCAAAAATGGTAGTAAAAGCAAATGCTACTTTTTATTCATACGACCCATGGAAGTCTTACGTGGTTTTTATGAAGGCACTTCGCAGAGGGCGGCAATCTCGAAAAACTTGTACACGGGGTCCTACCCGGAGTATCCAAGGTACTAGACCAGTCAGCAGGCAAGCCGATTGATCTCCAGGACGTTTTTGAAAAGAGCATCTATATTGTTCTGGCAACCATGTGCTACGGTAAAAAGTAAGTAAAACACGTGTATCTGTATTATTTGTCAAGCAGTGACAAGGTGCAAGGTCTTGTCCATGTAGGGGAGAGTGTCGATAAAAGATAGAGAAAAGCAGACCCCTTTTCCAGTCGTCCAATCTCAGCAAATCAGTAGCTAGTTGCGATCGTTGGCAAGTCAAACTCTTTAATTTTTATTTAATAAAATGTACACAATCACTGCCTTGACAATCATCGTAGTATACTGAGCTCATTTAACTGCTCTGCAAATTCCTTCCGTTTGTCAGCCGACATTGTTTGATATCGTTCTGGTGCTTTGTTTGTCCCAGACATAAGTTAATGCCATTCCAAGAATCTTTCACATTTCTAGTTTGAAACATGCATTCTATCTTTTCCTTTTTTGTAAGCTTTTTCGCTTGCTTAGTCTCAATTCTGATTTTCCTATTGATAGTCGGACGTTCGCTTTTAGTTCCTGACTTAAAACTACCTTTTTTCAATAATTGTCCGTTTCAAAGATTTTGAAACCCACGGTTTATTATTAGGGTATACTTTTACACTTTTCCGAAGTATTTATCATATTTAGGCAGAGCAAAATATACTGTCGTTGCTTCGTTGATGTCTTCACATGCACTAATTATGACATACCAATCTGTGCACTTATAGCATCCTTGTAGTTTTTCAATCGTGTTCTTTGCCCAACACTGAATCTCTTTCATCACAGTTGGTTGAATTTTGATTTTAGGGGTACAGCCCACTATAAATTCAAGTCCCAGTGAAAAGAGTGTAAAATCAGCACTGTTTAGGGCCCAATAACATGCATACGAACATTCCTGAGATTTCTGAAACAAACTTAAATTATTGTCTGGTCCCTAATCTTTCTATTTATTTTAAATTTTTTGTGGGTCAACCAATTACATTTTTAATTATTCCCACAAAACCAAACCACCCCCTCCCTAAGAGTGATTTTTCCGAAGTTTAATTCAGCCACTTTTTAAGTGGTAACCCCTTAACTTTCTCGGGCACTTAGCACCATTTTTCAACCGTAATTTTTAGACATTCTCCCCTCTCATGAAGCTAAAAGACCCAAGGAGTTAATCCTGGAAACGACTTACATAAGCCCACCATTTGGGGGGCCAAACAATCTCCTTTTTCAAAAGATACTGAGGGGGCACTTTTATTGCTAATAGGCTGGCCAGAAATTCTCACTTGAATTTGTGAACTACACCCTTAGGTCTGTAGGCAGGAACTAGTAAAACTGTGACCGCATGATCCAAGGTATGTTTCCGTAGAACAAGACAAGAGTACATTGTTTCGTCGAGTAGCGCATGAGGTATAATGGAAGAAGGAGGGTAAGCTCTTCTTCTCACCGAACACTGGTTGAAATCCCCTTGAATGAAAAAGGGGGTATCAGGGGAAATCGTCCGCAGCTTCTGGACTATGTCAACGATGTGTTGTGCTGCCAGTACAGCGTTAGCAGAAGGCGGGACGTAGACAAGAGTTATGAATAGTTGATCTAATTCTTGGGGTAGATTTAGGTCGAAGTGAAACAGACAAAAGTTTGAGATTTGATGTGCTCATTTTTTGGCGTATAGTTACATTTGCACGACAGCACCAGTTTTTTTTCTGACATATTTGCACAGCCAACCGCCACAAGATTTCCGTGACACGGATGTGTACGTCCCTGTCGAGACGTATAATCGACCCAAAGCCGTCCAAAGATATGCACTGGTCACTAATATTGTCAGCCATGTCTCTGTGAAGCACAGAACACCGGCATTGTGGACTCGGACATGCCGATCGAACTCTTAATTGCTTGGAGTTTGTCGAAATTACCATTTGCTGAAGTGGGTCAAAGAGCGCGTACACTCATGATAAATGAATTGGACTTTAATATGTCTGCTGTCTTTTGTCCCATTTCCTCTGGAAGTACATCAAGAGGGAAGGCGCTGGTGGGAAGTAAGAGAGAGATGGAACTCATGGCTATATATTTGGCGGCCATTTTGGGTCTGTGTAGTCGTAGCACCTGCCGCACAACAATTAACGTCAGGAAAAACAACACGAAAACTCCGGGAAATTGGATGTCTTTCATCCGATACATTCCAGTCTTTCCAACGGCAACTCCCTCATCAATGGCAAACCGATCGAAATTCTTTCTTAAACACTAAAAGCACAAATGAAAATACGAGAGAACAACGGCCACCGCGCCACTTGTGCAGCGCTATCGATTTCATCAGGTTGGTTTCTCGCCAGGAAGACGAGATACTTGCTTGAATTTGCAGATGCTGTGAGCCCCAAACGCAGAGACAATGATAATACATGCCCCAGAGTGACAAAATATTACTGGATATTTTTCATGTTCTAAATGCTCAGATATTAGAAAGGCCAATAGTGCACCAACAAGCTAACGTAACCTCTAAGATTGAGCTAATGCAGTACAAAGGCTTCGTCATCGTAGGAATTCAACAGTTCCAGATGATTATCGCAATTTAATTTTATCAGCCATAGATTTTGCTTAATCAGCAGGCTAATTTGCTATCTATCAATTTGAACAGCTATGATTTTGACGACCCATCCCTTGCCAAATGGTTGGGCAATAACAAGGAGGTTAAACGCCTCGTCGGGATCGGCCTGCCGCAAGATTTCATCCATTGCCTTCGGTATCTACCGACGCCCGTGACAGCCAGGGAGAAACGGATGAGGCGAGTCATGTACGAAGAGGTGCAGTACATATACGAGGAGTTCAAAGGTCACCGCAGTTCCTTCGATCCGGGTATGGTAATTACCAAAGGCCGCTTGCACATACTTTGGCACAGACTGACAATACACGTAGATATTGCTCCAGAAGCCTGCACCTTGCAGTACATTATGTAAATGACTGATATGTTGTGTTAGATCAGTAGCAGTAGCTGACCTGAATAGACTGTGAAAAGTTAATTTGATTACCCTTTCTCCTACATTAGAGAATATTCGAGACCTGTTTGATTCACTGATTGCGGCCCAGCGAACAGACGCAGCTCAGGGTGGGTCAAGGGTTGATTTTCTGACAGACACGAGGATCGTTCAAACAATTCACGACGTGTTTGGAGGTAAACACTTACTTCTTTTTTTTCCAACTGAGTCTTTTGGGGGTACAAACAAAATACACCGCACAAAATTTCAACTGTTCTATATTCGGTTGGACTGATCTTTTTATTTTTTTATATTTTGGGGCTTTCAATATCACTTTTTTGACAAACTGTCGCTTATATTTAAAATGTTGTTGGATGGTTAATACTCCTTTTGAAAGTGAAAAAAATAGGTGGGTGATTCAACATTAACAAAGTGGACAAACAGTGATCTTTTGATTGAAAGCAACTTAATTTGAAGGTTGGATTTTCAAGTAAGCAAAATGACACGATCTCTAATTTTCGACGTCATGTAAAGTGTATTTTGGATGCAGATTTGCAATATTGGATGTAGTCCCGTTGGGTCGATTACAGGTGCTTTCACAATTTCATTTGCAAGTCTTCCCATCCAGTCTCAAGCAACAGGGTGGACGATGACAGAGGAATACTTCTGTTGTGTTTCATTTTAATACAGAGTCTCCCCGTGAACGCAACCAAATATACCATTCATTTTTCCCCAGATAATTGTCGGAATAGGAAACTTAAAAATGTATGTTATCTAAACTGAAGACTAAACTATAACCAAGCGATGCATTGCAGAGATCATTTTGATTGTGTGGGATAGCTGCCGTTTCATTTGTCTCCTAGGATTTACCAAAGCGATTAAAATGGATACAGGCTTTTTGACACTTAGCACCCTTTAGAGCATGAAATCCTAAATAAATTAGTGCAATGTCAACATCTGACCCGTTACTTTTATCGTTTCAACCTTCGACATCCCAAATTAATTTTGAACGTTTCAGCTGGTGTCGACACGACGATTCCAGCGCTTTACTGGGCAGTCGCCCTCGTGATTGAACATCCTCAAATCTTGGAGCGCGTTACCGGAGAGATAGACACAGTTATAGGTCCAGACTGTCTGCCTTGCCTGTCACACCGAGGCTCTATGCCTTACACAGAGGCTACATTGATGGAGATCTTCCGATACGGAGCGACCACGCCAGTTGGACTGCCAAAATCGACGACGAGAGACACGACCTTCCGTGAGTTGTATAATCATTCGATTCTTGATATTTGGCGAATAAAATCATAGACCAACTTGATGTGTTGCAACAAATTAAAACTATGAAAATTCAAAAATAAGTGATTTCCGGCGATTACATGCACTAAGCATAGAACTTGTCGATTCTCACTGGTCTCAATAGGTCATAGTGTCTCTCTAGAACATCACCAGCCGAATAATGGACAGTTCCACACTTTAGCCGTTGCCTTTCCAAGTGGCTGATTTGTACTTTGTCCTTTCAGGTGGATTTACTATCCCGAAGAAAACCATGGTTATGGTGAATCACTGGGCTGCCCATCATAGCCAGAATCACTGGGATGAGCCTGCCAAGTTCAAACCAGGTACTGGAAATGGATTTAGGTCGGCCAGTGATTTTAAATTCTTACGGTTATTTATATAAATATGCAATCTCATTATGCGCAGTGATTGCCTGCAATATAAATGAAGAATTATAAAAAGAGTGGGATGAATGGTGCAGTTTTAGGGCAAGGTACCCATACGTAAGTTAGACAACTTAATTCCAGGTGAACAGCGGTGCAGTTTTGATTTTTCCTGGAAGTATTTTTGAGGAGGGGGGCAAGTAGTGACAACCATTCTGCCACCACTTGAAATTGAAACAACTGATAACAAAAGCCTTTTTAACTGCTTGGCACAGAGCGCTTCCTAGACGAGAGCGAGACCAAGTTGATCAAGACCCCGGCGAGCTTCATGCCCTTCGGTGTCGGCCGTCGCTCCTGCATCGGGGAGAACTTTGCCAGGGGTGAGATCTTCATCCTGTTCTGTTGGCTCTTCGGCCGCTACGCCCTGTCTAAGGTGCCCGGCAGAGAGGAGGAGTCGCTGCTGAGGACGAAAGTATCACAAGAGCTGACTGAACATGACCTGTGTCCCTATGAGGTTATCGTGCAGAAGCTGTAAACAAAATCGTTGACACAATGTGAAACTTCCTGACCTGACCGATGCCACGAGTGGTGTAGCATTTCTTCGTTTTTTTCTGTAGGGCGAAATTTTTGTTTCCATGACAAACATGTCCACATAATAAACTGTCGTTCACTTTTGGTTATTCGGCGGTGTTCTATCCTATTGTGTTAACCTGACAACAAGACTTTTTACACAATGAACGAGCGGAAGACGTTCTTTTCGCTTTCACAAGTCAATTCAACTTCCCCTCTCTGAAAGATGGTTTCAAAGTCATGGCCATTGAAGGTTATCCATCGTAAAACAAACAGGAAAAGTTAGTTTCGTGAGCCATCATGTAAAATTAACTACGTATTCAATGGTGTAACTGACAACGAACAAAATCTAAACATTTGTGTCTCCGTGATTTCATCTAAAGCGTATATGAGTAAGAGTGTGAGCAAGTTTGGTTATCCCTATGTGAATGATGGATCTGAGAGACGAGATCCACATAACGCTGTGTAGACGTGCACATGCCCACACCACGAATAACCTGCTCAGAAAATAGATTAGGCGTGTAGGGACCTTTAACAATAAAACAAAGGTCAAGGAAACCATTTATATTTCACTAAGTTTGCCAAGAACACCAAATATCTTCAAGAGGTGCGTAAACCTATATGTGTTAAATACTCTTATACTGACAGATTTGAATCACAGTCGTTACGTCCTACAGGTTTTATTTTGCCTAATAATGATGGCAAAGACACCATGTGTTCTAATTAAGAGGATTTAATTTGCATGCATTTGCGTCGCCTTTCTTTAATATTTTTGGATGTATTCTGTTTGCCTTCCATTGCTGTAGTAGCTTATCTTTTTTTTAATAGTGTTTGTGATTGAAACATTTTCAGTTTGCTGAAATGTGATTATTCTGGTCTTTTCGGTACTTGACACCCAGAGTTTTCAGGCTCTGGCTTTAATTAACTTAGATTTAGGAAAGCGATCCACCCAACTTTAATTTCATTGCTTTTGTATAATCAGAGTTTTGATTGATTTTATTTTGAAGTATGTTAGAATTAATGTCTTTTAATTAATTAATGTTATGTCTTTTATTTAATTTTTGTTACCAAAAATCGTGATAAATTGTCATTTTGTTATTGTTTGTATGGTTTGTGTCATTTTTGACCGCTGTCATAGCAAGGACATGTTGTAAGTAATCGTAGGTTTAAGTTACAGGAGAAACAAATGATACCGGTAATCGAGCTCCGATCAAATATTTCGTGAGAAAACAGTGAGTACGTGTCGCAGTTTCCGTCTCCAATCGCAAAGCAACTCAAGTTGTCCTAGATGTCTTCAAACCAGTGGCTGACTTGCTTAGCCAGCTCCGGATCTGAGCAGCGCCTGCGCATAACGACGACTTTCTTTACGGGAAAAACGGATATACCGTGTTCGCCATATACAGAGTCGTAGCGGGCACCAACGAGCTTAAACAGGAAATTCCCGCAGAATGTTCAGAAATATTTTACACGACTTCTTAATATGGCCATGTTTCCAACCAGGAGCGTATCGACCAGGGGTGTGGGGGAAATGCGGCACCCCCTAGTATAGGTTTTCCCGACCGAATTAGTTGAAACAGCATCCAAATTCGTGAAAATGCATTTACATTCGAGCGATTTCTCGAAGCCCGTTACTCCCTTGGTCGATTTTCGAAACTTTGCGCATTCAGTTTCGTTTGTGGACGTTCAATCATGCACTTTCAAGGATTCAGTTTAGTAACAGTATGATTCAATTTTACGATGCACAAGCGTCACTCAATTTCGCCCTTGGTGACTGGGAGGTGGATTCCTACCCAAATTTTACTTTCATATCCGTCAATTGGCACTCATATTCGCAATGTTAGCGTTTCAAAGTATACGTATCCTAAGTATTGGAGAAAAGATAGAGTTTCTGTATAATCATGATACGTGTACAGTTCCAGAGACATCTTGATCGCTGGCGATATTTGCCCCGGATCTTTATTATCCCCAACCTTATCATTTAGCTTATAGGCCTAATTGTATACTTTTGTTCGGTTAAATGCTTATGGGGAGAATATCGTGTTGTTTTTTGAAGTAACATATTTCGGATTACACGAAACCAATTTTGTTCTTTCTTTTTATAAATCTTCAAGCAGGAACAATACAAATTACAAAATTACTGCTGAAAAGATTGAGTATTTGGTGATTGTTTTAACAATCATTTAATCAGATAAGATGAATTTGATCATTTCTTTTCTCGTTTTAAGCAGAAATAAATACGGACATTATAGACAAGAGGTTCTCCAATCAAAGTATAAGTTTACCGAGAGGGATTTTTTCTGCGAGTGAAACCGCTCTTCTTCATGACGGAATTTGAATAAATTAGTCAAGCATAAACCATTTCAAATTTGTAAATTAGACTTCGATGAAAAACATTGCACAGATGTCAGAAATGCTTGCCTATTCACGAAATCGCATGCCTTTTACGAGTACCACAGAGTGACCGTGCGAATTTGACTTCTGTTCTTGGGGTTTCTTAAACTGAATAGCGACTCCAACTTTGCTGGTTAACAGGAATTTGCAATGGCGTGCTCATTGAGTTAAATTGAATGGTTATTTTGGCTGATTGAACGTTGATCTGGATCGTCAATCAATTTCGCGCTAAATTGAATGAGCCTGACTTTAATTGGAGCGCCAATCTTAAAAAGTTGGGCGGAAAACCTATAATTAATTCCAGTCGGCAAACAGAGCTTCGGTCGGCAAATGAATCCAAAATTATAACATAAACGATGCTTTTCGTCGGCATTTCTCTTGAAGCATGACATGTAGCATACCACGGATAACTTTGAGAATTTTACACGACACAAAGTTCGCGAACAAGTTTCAAATCGGTAAATTGACCCTGGCACACCCCCCCCCTAAGAAAATGCCCTCGGGGTGAGTCCAACCCAAAGTAAATTCACCGATTCTTGTGAGAATCTTTTCGTTGGAAACTTCATATAATCTGATTCAATATAAACAATTTTGAGAGATTATTATTTCTGGTAGCTGCCAGGGATACGTGACAGAAAAGGGGTAAATTTTTCGGATTATTTCCTGAACTGGCAGAAATTTAACCCGTGTCGTTTATTTCCAGTTACGATTGTCATTATCCGAGAATATTTTCAGCATAAATTGCCTCTCTTTATCCCGAATGTATTAGAAAAAAGCTAAGGATTCCTCAACATGTTTTTTTAATCTTCACTTGGGAACGACTTTGATTGTGTTGCTTGTTAAAAAGGGACACAATGCGTCTCAAAATAGAAGGGACAACATAGTCATGACGTCATTTTAGTGATCAATGACTACCTGCTAAACATAGATTTATCATGTGGTGGGGAACCATGAACGTCTTCTAAAAAAGTCTGGACTTACAATGCCCTAATCAGCCCACATATGCCACTGAAGCAACCGGTGGTCATCTTGTACTGAATACAAAGGTAATGGGGCCTGCTTAGTTCTCACAGAGGGATCTTGTCTGAGAACCGATGATACTGACCATTCTCGTCGAATCAAGGGTCCGATATCATATCATTGTTTATGTGACTAAAATCGGAGGAATGCTTGCAGTCTCCGAAAATAGCCGAAAGAATCCGAACTCGTTGCGTCCACATTCGGAAAGCATTGTTGACCTTCGGATCATTCCGGCTGTGTTTGTGCGCATAATAAGATTGGTGATGATCTGAGGAGGTGCGATTGAAGTTAGGCATGATTGATGGCCGCTACTCTGAACATGCCCCAAACGAATATAGATGCTTGCCTCAGTCCCAGGCATGGTTGTGTATTAAAACATGGTGTAACCGTACGTAAATAACCTGGGGGCTAATCTGTCTGTCATGTCACTCTTGTCACACCCACCCAGGGCTTTCCTTGTGACCCTTGGCATGTTGCGTCATTTTTATCCGTGGGTGATAACCACTCACTGATCTCTATACATAGGCATGAAATTTAGGAATTGGAGAAATATGGCACTGAACCTCTGGCCCGGACTTCGGACTTCCAATTCCGAGCAATTTGGGTGCGGTCAGGTCCGAAAGTGGCACTCTTTGGCCATTTTGCAGAGGGATGGTTTTTCAAAATGGCTACAATTTCTTCATTTTAGGGGTGATCTGCTTCTGGTGAAAATTCCTCAAAAATTCATTGGTCAACCCCCTCAAAATTGAGAGGAAAATGAAAGGGGACATGTCGATCATCGTTTTTCTGTGCAGCTTGGACACCTGTGAGAGTTATGAGTATTTTTAAAATAATCCTCAATAATAAGTGTGAGGATTTATCATTGCTGTCTATGACAATTTGTTTTTTGTGGCGCACCCTGAGAATTGAAGCGACTGCGCGGCCATCTTAGGCTATTCAATACAAAATGGGAGTTTCCAAGTCACCGGCTTTAGCGTCGTGCATGAATGCACTTTTAATGGACTGAAGTTGCTATTGGAGGCCATTGTATTGAATATCCTAAGATGGCCACACGGTCACGTAAGCAGCTACTGCTGAGCTGCTATGCCTATTCAGAGGTGATACCTGACTTACGAATTTATCAAGAGTTGCCAGAAAATCTTTGGTCAGGGAAAAAAGACTAACCGTGCTAAGGTGGATTGCAATCAGTGATTCGACTTTGGTTCACCGAACAGTGTGAAACAAACAGGCTCCTAGATATCCGACAGACCCGGAGGCCTGCCCGTTGTTTACCAAATCAAAAGAACGATGGCAAACAGCCAAACATTCTACCGATAAGATAGAAAAGCATTGCAAGTACATATTTTTTTTACATGACGTCCGTGTAGAGAACCAGTCTGTACGTGCAGCTGTGTTGTATGGTGCACTATTTACGACAAACATTTCTCTCTCTCTTGCCTCCCTCTAGGCGACGCAACCAGACAATGCGACGGCACGACGGCTCCCTTGCGTCGTGCCATCGGGTCGAACCGTCGCCTTTTTGCCATTTCGTTTGTACGCACACAACGCGTCGCGTCGTGCGTTGCGTCGTGCCGTCGCCCGTCGCGTCGTACTGTCGTGCGTTGCGTCGTGCGTCATGTCGTGCATCGCGTCGCCGGCACACGACGCGACGCGTCGTGTGCTGTCGCCCTTTACTTCATGGTGTTTATAGAGGGCGCCTTTACTGTTTTCTTTCATTTCCGTCCACCTTTTTGGCAAAGTACATGCAATTCGCTCTTTGGTGTTGATTTTTCATTGTTTTTATCTCATCGATTCATTAATTGGGATTAATTTGAGTCATATTTTATTGAAAAAATGATAAAAGAGCAGAAGAAAATCCGAATAAGTAGGAACTGCTCTCTCAAAATAATTGGAAACTGCAAGCTCAGAATTCGTCACTCCTTAATTTCCCAGCCAATGATTTCTTTTGTGTTTTCTCATTTTTTGTCCATTGCGCTTGCAAAATACATTCCCTGAGTCGCAAGCGTTGATTTTTTCGGGAGGGGGGGCATTGTTTCATCCATTCATCAAATCGAGTTAGTGTTTGTCATATTTTATCGAAAAAATCGAAAACGGGCAAAAAGAAAATCTGCGTATGAAGGTGCTCTCACATAATAAGTGTAAGCCCAGAATTCGTCACTTTTTAATTTACCCGGCTGATCCTGGTTCGAATGTCTGTCCAATTTCTTTTCAAGACCGTTGATGAAGTTCTCATTTGTGGTAGATTTGTAACTTTATAAATATTTCTCTGTGCTCCATGCCAGCAGTTTCCAAGTAGTTCTCTCACTCCTCCAGACAACTTGTCTACAATTGTACGACCGCAAGTTTGACCACGGGTTTAGGTAGTTACCATCCATCCTGCTCTATATTATTACACTCAGAATATTCAGTCTTCGTTCAGTTTAGTCTTCCTCGTTAACTTCATCAGCACCACACTTTCAATGATATTAGTCCGCCAGCGTGTTTCTCAATAAAACACTGTAGATCCTGCTACCGTTGTGACGGTGTCTTTTCTTCCTCTCTGTTTGGCCTTGCGCTTAATTTCTCATCAGATCCGCATGTTACATTTTTGCAAGCACGTAATAATGATAGATGTATTGTATCTTAGAATGGATTTACAATAATTATTAGAAAAATCACAATTAGATCAGGAAAAGCTAAAACATTGTTGTGGCTGACGTTAATGTTATATATTTCCTGCAGACAATGCCGATTATCCACGAAGCTCTTTCTGATTACATTTGATCTAAAAAAAGGAAAAGAGTTTTCTTCAAAAACTCATTCTTAATGAAAACACAAAGTTTGAAGGAATCCACGAAAAAGAACAACAGAATCAAGGCCTGGTACGGGAAGCAAGCAAGGGAAGGGGGAAGGAGATGAAAGAAAACAGAAAAGGCGCCCTCTATAAACACCATGAAGCAAAGGGCGACAGCACACGACGCATTGCGCCGCGTCGCGTTGTGCGTCGTGTCGTGCGTCACAACTTGCCTCAGGCGACATGATGCATGACACGACGTACGACGCGACGCACGACAGCACGACGCGACGGGCGACGGAAGGGGCGACGTTTAGGCAGAAAAAATGTAACAAGGAAAGGACCTAATTAAGACGGCACGACGCGACGGGAAAGGGAGCCGTCGTGCCGTCAGGTCGTCTGGTTGCGTCGCCTGGAGGGAGGCAATAGAGAGAGACATGTTTGTCGTAAAAAGTACACCATACGACGCAAGGGAGCCGTCGTGCCGTCGCGTTGTGTAGTTGCGTCGCCTGGATGGATGCTAAAGAGAGAGAGAGAGAGAGAAATGTTTGTCGTTAATAGTACACCATACACCGTAGTTCATACTCCAGCGACATTCAATGGAGTTGAACGTGTTCGACTTTTGCGCAACTTTCAACCTGCATGACGTTATAAAATCGTTTTCTTGTTCGCTTTGAACCGGTCTTTACAGAAAATGATTATACCGTGAGTTGCGAAATCCGCAATGAAAAAGGTGGCGCAAACCTCACAAACAGTTTGTGTCTATCGTATTGGTGCGTTCACCCTGTCCTTTCCTGCAGGAGGATTGTCATTCTGTACAAAACTCCCGAGCTTTCTTTTGTAACAGACGCATGGGGTAAATATTGATCTTTGTGTTGAGCTTTGGTAGAGGACAAGGACGATGGTTTCAGATTGTGTAAGCTACTTCAGTTAGTCAGATAAGGTCGTTCCCGTGTTGGGCACTGCTGCAGGCACACTAGAGTGCAGACGGTTCCCGTCGACAGCTTCGTCAGTAGTGAAACCATATAGGAAAAGACTCAAGGCCTACGACGTGCGGTGCGGAGATGGCTGTCTTGGAGCTTATAACAGAAAACACAGGCACGGTTTTGCTGTTCGTAGTCACCTTGGTGGTTCTTCTGCTGTACCAGAACGCAAGGAGGCCGGCTGGGTTTCCCCCAGGACCCCCTGCACTCCCCATCATTGGCAACGTACTCAGTAAGTATAGTGATCGACGCTCACTAAGAAATCAGCTGAAACTCCGTACGTACGTTTCCGACCCCTTTCCTCGATTCCTTAGGGCCCTCAAGCAGGCTTTCTTGTCGACACGTAATTCATCCTATGTTTTTTTCTGGATGTCATTTTGACCACCTGTGTGGGGGCCGTTGTTTTATTTGTTCGGTATAATTTGTCTTGTTAACGTTATATGTGGGGCTGCATACCCGCGGGTATATATAATAGTAGTTTATTTTACTTTTGCAGTCCTGACCTACATAACTGTTATTTGTCTTGTTATGTATTCGGATTTTCCTCCCTGGTCCCTGCTACTGCTTATATTTTCTTGTGCGTGTGTGTGTTTTTGTTGTTTTTTAATAAACTTTTTGCTCAATTTTGCTCTGTCTGTTAATAATAATTGTTATGCCCTTTGCACAGTAGTTTTTCCCAAACTGCCCGAGTTGTTCTCCCTTTACACTTCAAATTCCCAAATATTTAAAGGAAGTGATCTGGCAGCCACGGGTGGGCCGGCAAAATGTATGGTAACAGTCATTACAAAGTAACATACGAGTAAAAGTAACCGCGGCAGTTTACAGGAAGAACCGTTATCTTGCCCTTAGCTGCCCGCACATTGGGCGGAAAAATGTCGGCATCCGTGGCTGCTAGATAATTTTCCGCAAATAGGGACCTGTTTATAGTGAATACTAACAACTAAGGCTAGATTATAAACATTTTTATTTGTTATTTCATTTTATCAGGACCTGTTTATTTATTTATTTATTCTGGTTTATTGAACTTTCTCATCGCAGCCCAAGGGCTGAATTGAGGGCAGGTTTAAAAAGAGAAGTAAAAACGTTAGTAAGGAAAACAGAGGAAATTAAAGTAATTAAAAATCACATAGAATTAAGAAATTAAATGACAAAACGCTTAGATAGAAACGAACAGACTAATACTTCACAATTACAAACAGAAAACAAAAACTTGCAAATTTAAAAAAATTCCAACAATCAAAGTTAAAACCGGAGTTAAAAAACTATCAACAATTCAACCCATGCGTGACGGCACTCTTGGGAAGAAAATTAGGGACAACATATCTTGCACGCTATCGATGATTGCGTGCCAGTTCGACAGGCCCTACACGGGTGCAATGACCTTTCAATTGTGGCGCATAATGGTGCTATGTAATACCTGGAGTAATTGGGGCAAGGTTCTCAGGTCAATCGTCAGCGAGGCATATTCAGTTGCGTGCGGAAACCGTGGATGTATATTAAAAAACCTGGACTTGCAACGCCTTTGTATGAAATAGTAGCCAAACAGGTGCCATTTTACCGAGCCAAATACAAATGCGCGGGTTGGCTCACGTCTGTTGACGCCAGGGAGAACAAAAGCGGGCATTGCCGAGCAAGCTTTGTATTCGGTTCGGTAAAATGGCCGCTAGTGGATTCAATGATCTCTATAAGCTGATTAAGGGCATTGCAAGTCCAGATTTTTTTTATAAACGTCTGTGGCTGAAACTCAAGGCATGTCACGCGATGACAGGAGTAAAATTAAAGGCAAAAACAGAAATGGCCTTGTCGTGTTACCATTTTTGTTGGAAAAGTGTCATGAAAGACTCAGGGGAATTTTGCGTTCAAATAACTTTTCCTGCATCATCAAAAACTAAAGACGGCAAGAACTCTGGCAACTCACACGTAGGGCCTAAAACCAGAAATGTAACAAAAGCAAAGACCAAGCATGCACAAACACCCCCTCCCCACTTACCAATCGGATGCACGATAAGTGCAACAGTATCAGACACACTCTAGACATCCACTGCATTTCATCGAATAACGACACCGTGATCGTCAAATTGGTGAGGCCATAACAGAAACTAAATTCTGGAATACGATATATCATATTTATATTCCGGTTTGAATCTTGCTTGCCTTGATGGGCCCCTTCAGGCTTGTAGGCCCTAATATTCTTATAAAGAGTGGGGGTTTTTTTGGGGGGGGGCAAGAAACAAGTCGACTTTCTGATTACTTTTATGCCTTTAATGTCAATCTTTAGGGTCTTTGTTCTGTCTGCCTCTCTGCAGTGAGTGACTAAAAGGATTACGAATGACGTTCACAAACAGACCTTTGCGTAAACCCAGTAATCCTGTCATATATGTTGCCTGTCTTTTCGTCATTCCCTCATCATTTCCTCCCCCCATCATTTCCTCCCCCACAATCCCAATAAAACTTATACTGCCATGTAACATTTCTTGAACCTGGGGCAAATTTTATGGCATCTTAAAAACAAAGGTTGTTAATTTTTCTTAATTGTTGTTAGATGCCAAACTGTCAATTATGTCTTTCATACGGTAGCCTATAGGCCTTCTTGAAAGCACTGAATGCTCTTGTTCTTTCTCTTGTTAAAAGCTTTTCGGTCTTCAGAGCAAATCTACAAGATATTCCAACGGCTAGCGGAGCAGTATGGACGCATATTTTCCCTGAAGCTCGGCAGCTTCTGGGTGATTGTCTTAAACGATGTGGAAGACATCCGTGAGGCTCTCATCAAGCAGCCGATTGCCTTTGCTGGAAGGCCTAATCTCTACACAAGTAACAACATGTTCAATATCCTTAACCTCCAGGGTGTATGTAAAATTGTATAAAGCTTTGAGGCTTGGGGACTGTTAGGGATATTGTATGATATACCTATCGTGTTTTGTCACCCACTTGATTTGAAAAGGAACGTGTTTTATGTTTGCCCTTAAATCCCCCGTTAAAATATTCGATTTTAGTCTGGTGCTCTGACGACTGAGTGACTTTTAGTTACATTGTGTTGCACTTGTACAGCAAGCATAGTGACCGATGGATTTCAAGACATTGCGTTCAGCGACTACAGTCCCGACTGGCAACTTCACCGGAAGATCGGCCACGCCGCGCTCAGGTTAGAACGACAAATAGAGGTGGATATGCTATCAGATTATGCATGTGGAACCATATTGTGTCATGTCCCATTATCCCTTAACATGCAGTGTGCAGTGTAGGAAAAATACTCCGAAATTACAGATTCCTTTTAAAGAACAGTATCAAGGTGTCAAACCGTCCGAAAGATAATCACACACCCTCAAGTCGTGTCGAAAATACAGACGTGATGCACAAAAGGCGCTAATGGGTTAAAACAAGAGGAAACGCCATGTTGAGAGAAGACTGTTAAATGTTGCCGTTTTGGAGGAGCTTGAAAGAAGTAAGGTTAACATAACTGTCAATAGTAATGGCGTATTCCTCATGTTATTTTCTGATGACAAATACATAATCTTCCTTTACTGCACAGCAAATTTATTGGTCAATGATGATGTTGGGCAAATCCTATTTACCATTTGTTGGTCTAAAATATTGAAAGTTGGGCAATTTATTTATTACTCAACACAGATGGGCACATGCCAATTTCTTTCTGCTCAATCATTGGTCAAAGAATAGTCTTCGGTGCCATTACGCAAATATTGGTCATTGCAAAGGCAAGTGTTGGGCATTGGAATAAACTTGCTCTCAAGTCTCTCTTTCACAAGGAAGTTTAAACACATTTTGCCACTCACAAATCGTCGTATATGTTCATCCAGGGTACTCTTAAGATTGCATGTATTTTAGGGGTGATCATAGATTTCTTTGCTGTTGCATAACTTAAAGTCGGCGCTTATATCACTACCTGCGTGACTTGAATCAAGTCTAGTAATTTTTGACCAACGCTGTGTAGCAAAGTTCCCGCTGACATGGCGCACCCGCGTGCTGTAAGTATTGCATGACAGGTGTTTTTCGACGGCACGAAGGCGGTCACGGAGTCGACGGAACTCTCAAAACCCCTTCGAATATGAGATCTGGAAAACACTCTCAGGTAATGTGTTTACTGTGAATGTTGTTTCTGGTTACCACAGAGCTGTCTGGGCAAGGGTTGGTTTTCAGTGTTATTGGTTGTGATGACAAAAACCGTATTACATTTCCCCATTCTGTTGCCGAGTTACTCTACATGCTGCATTGCACGTGATGCACATCGTAATCACATAGGGCCTAATAATTATAGGCCGACTACTTTACTCTTTTGTGCGACGAAATGTTGGTGAAGACCATCCATACGTATAAGTCTTATGAATGCATTTTGCCTATTCACGGTATATGCATCGTGTTAACGGTATAAGCATGGACTAACTGAAATACACTCCACTTGTAATCCAAGGCCACATTTTCTAAAACATCAGATAGTCTAGGCGTACAGAACTCATACTTATCAAGTATGCTTTATAAATCATGCATGTACAGGCTATATCAGGTTTACATACCATGGCAGGCGCAAGTCCAAAACTTGAAAAAAAAATTAACAAAACCAAACATTATATAGCCATTCAAGACAAAGTATATTTTACCCAACAAATTCACCAATTCCTGGTCAATCACATATTAAACAGACTTTTCAAAACCTTCATCGTTTTTTGGTTTCAATTTTTTTCAGTTTTTTTCAGTCAACATTTTTCAGTTTCCTTAAAATTGACATTTTTTCTCGAACTAGCTAGGAATCAATGGGCCCATCAGTGTAAGGACTAGCTTTACTTGGATTTGGATCAATGTAACTGCACATCTAGGCTGTTTCACAGTCCACGATACATTCAATTCATACCTCAAGTAAAACATAAAATCATGAGGACTTGTGCGATTTTAACACCAATGATGGGCCCATGATGAATGATCAAAATGTCACAAGTTAGGTTTTAACTAATAGTCGTACCCAAGCTTGCTCAAGATTGCTAAGGATCATCTGAATCTTGCATAAATTCTTAAACAGTATTCAAAGGTATACATTCAACATGTCAATCAGACTGGCTTTACATCAATGTTAATAAATGATTTCGTTGTACAAACTTTGACCACTTCGATTTGCAGTGTGCAAATACTTTTCTGCCGTGATTATTGCTGCAATATAGCGAGGGTTTCTGATTTTGTTTTGTTGATTCCTCAGACACTTTGCAAGTGGTGAAAAGCTCAACAAGCTTGTGCACAGTGTGCTGCCTGGCTTCGCCAAGGTACTAGACCAATCGGCGGGCAAGCCTTTGGATCTGAAGGATGTCATTGATCGGAGCATCTACATAGTTCTGGCTAACATGTGCTATGGGAAAAGGTAGTGCAAACAAAACGTATTATTACCACTGCTGGCTATCCTATGGCTGCTCGTCTGCCCGTCCGAGCTTTAGGATGCCTGAGACTTATGCAGATACTCATGTTGGCAACATTGTGATGACAGATTTATTAATAAGCTTCGTTTCCCTGAACCTTTTTTCCCCACTGGTGCCGTGCAGTCACGATTTTGATGACCCATTCCTCACCAAATGGTTTGCCCTGAACAAGCGAGCACAGGAACTCGTAGGGGGCGGACTTCCACGTGACTACATCCATAGTCTTAGGTATCTGCCTCTCTCTTCACGGGAGAAACGAGTGAAGGAGCTTTCCAAAGAAAGCTTGGATTACATATACGACGAATTCAAAGGTCATCGTGACTCTTTCAAGCCAGGTATGACATCAAGCACTACATGTACTATTAAATAATCTTGATATACTATTACTACGGTCCGAGTAAGGTGGAGAAAATCATCACGGCACGCCATGTATTTCGCAAATACTGGCTCTAACATGCAAACAAATATGATTAAATTAAAAGCATAACGGCATATGTTGAATGGCACTTTCGTAAATTTATTTCAAACTTATAACTGATATGTTACAAGCAAACTATCATTGATACATTGAATTTCAATCAGAGCTTATTTCATTATTTAACCGGTGGGCGTTTAGATATTAAGTCATATTATTTCACAATTGACTCTTCGTCAGCCACGCTCGTCCGCAGTAAGATATCCCCGTGCCAAATTAGCTCATAACTATAACGCACTTTGTTCAGTTTGAAGTGTGCTAGTGACATCCATAAGCCTCGTTTGTGTGCCGCCATATACCAATGTGAAAACACTTCAGCACGATTGTGGAAATTTGACTGTGGGTTCTTTTGTGTCATTGCTTTTATCCAACAAGATAACATAAGAGATTTGTTCGATTCGCTGATCGCCGCCCAGCAGGAAGACGCAGCGGAGACTGGATCAAACGCTAATTTCCTGACAGACACAAGGGTTATTCAAACAGTTGCAGATTTGTTTGGAGGTAAATGCATGGTTCTGTATATTCCTGCTTGCTATGATGACCTGACCAAGTGCGATCCCTGACTCGCGGTTAATGTTCGATTCATGACGTCACATGGCTGGCGTGCTTAGCAGTAAAGTGAAAATGTCTCATTCAGACCAAACGTGATTCCAGCGAAATCACGCTCCTCGCCCCCTCCTTATTATGGGGGAGGGAGGGTACATTACTGAACAGCGATGCAACAAAACCTTTTTAGTTTTTTTGTCTTTTCAGTCGAACGGATTGGGGCAAATTATATTGTGCATTATGCCCAGCACCCAGTGCCCAAACCAGGGCAACCCAAGCACGTTTACATTTGTGTACATTCGAGCGAACTTTATCGTATGCGCCAAACAGTGCGCGCTGTGCACCCCAGACATTCAGCAGTGCCTTCTGTTCCTTCGTGAAATTAAAACAGCCCGGCCGTGTTTCATTCCTTTGCTCAATCGAGTTTTACAAATGTCCAAACCAGTTCTCAATGGCGCATAATTCAGTAACATGAATTCCAATATTTGTGTATGGTGGGTGTTTATGCAAAAATACCGAGTTGCGAACTGGAAACGGATAGAGTTTGACACTTTCTGATGAGAATTTCATGTGTGGTGTAGTAGACGCAAATTTTCAGCTGTATTACTGTATTTAAGCTGTAATTGTTCATAAGCAGTTTGAAATCTCATCCCACATCAACAGCCGCGTAGGTATTATATACTAGATCTGACCAAAAATATGCACCATCGTAAAGGTGTATGGGAAATGTCCGGCATGAGATGCCCTCCTTTCAAGATGATATGAATACAGTGAACTAGGGCAAAGCTGTCGAATAAATTTCCTTTTGTCGATGTCTTTGTCTGAGAAGCTGGTACTGGCACGACGATTCCAGCGCTGTACTGGGCAGTCGCCGTCATGATTGAACATCCTCAAATTTTGGAGCGTGTTACCAAAGAGATAGATACAGTCATAGGTCCAGACCGTCTACCGTGCTTGTCAGACCGAAGCTCTATGCCCTACACCGAGGCAACCTTGATGGAAATCAACCGATACGGGGTGGTGTCGCCCATTGGATTGCCCAAATCGGTTACCAAAGATACAGTCTTTCGTGAGTATGCAATACTTTATTAATCGATGAATAGATAAACGCTTCTTTTCCCTGCACAAATTCGAAAAGCAATACGTTTAACTTACGACAGGTCTTAGTTGGAAACTTTTAATCTTCATTTTCTTTACTACTGCTACTTTATTTTTGTTGCTGGTAGGTGGCTTTACCATCCCTAAGGATACCATGGTTGTGCTCAATGTGTGGGCAGTGCATTATGACCATAAGCACTGGGACGAACCGAATAAGTTCAAACCAGGTGAGAGTATAGAATTCAGACTTGGAATGCCTGTAATCTTTGTTTGCTGCATTAATTTCTCATTTGACCACTTATTCACTCTCGTAGTATCCTCATAGCTTTGTTACAACTCTTTTTTGTTTTAGTTAAGCCAAATTTTCCGTGTTTGGTTTTGTGCACATCCGTTTTCAATACTTGCCCGGTACCGTGTCTGCCATCTTGTTCAACACCGTGTTCAGTACATTTTCTCTGGTAGCCAGGCAAAATACCCAAAAGTTCGTTTATATCCGAGCTTGGCCGTTGCTGTATCTGAGAATAAAGGACAATGACGCATCATTTTTAGTGATTTCATGGTTTTGTTCTATGAGTCTACATGCACATACCTGGCTTATGCCGCAGCCGCCAGTCAATGACCCAAATTACTATTCCCGTTTTGTGCCTTCAAATGTTGGCAACCACGTGTGCCACGTCGCAGCATGCAGACTGGGCAGAGTCTAGCACTCGATTTGATGTCCATTATCAGCCATGTGTTGTATTAGTGTGGGTGTCCTGTGGAATTATATTACCATGCAGAGATATCCCGGAGTTTTTGTCTGGTGACCATGCATAGTGACAAGCCTCTGTAAATGTGCAGATGTACTGAAGTTAGGTCATCATGTTCCGACGAAGTGTATATCCCTGGACATTCTAAGCCAACCTCGGACTAGAAAATGTGAAACCCTTTTCGAATCATGAGCTTATGACGGATGACGTCTGCTTTCTTACATGTACACTTTCCTCCCAATTCCTCTAGAAAAGTGCACTGTAAACAAAGTGTGACATTGCCAGTTAACGTGCAAGTTGAAATAATGTATATACCACTGAGATTGCTCAACGTTGGCTTCAGGATGCATGTCACGGCATTGTTATATGGTACATTTTCACCAGAGCGCTTCCTGGACGAGAGCGGGACCAAGCTGGTCAAGCCGCCAGCCAGCTTTATGCCCTTCGGTGTCGGCCGTCGCTCCTGCATCGGGGAGAACTTCGCTAGGGGTGAGATCTTCATCCTCTTCTGCTGGCTAGTCGGCCGCTATTCCTTGTCCAAGGTGCCAGGAAGGGAGGACGAGTCGTTACTCACACTCGACCTAAAAGGACCGCTTAACCATGAACCCCGCCCGTTTGAAATCATCGTCAGGAAAAAGTGAGCGATGGAAAATTTGTTCTTAGGTACGTAAGTTAATGAACGCTCAACACCGTGAATCAGTATCACCGCTTATTAAATCTAGTCAAAAACTTAAAATGTGTAATTTTTAAAATTATATTGTACATTGTGTCCGCTAAATTCACATTTTCCAAAGGTTTATACTTCGTCTGAAAGTTTGTTTCGTCCTCATCCATATGTTACTAGCAAATCGTATTGTGGTCATACATGACTGATCAGAGTCAGTCTGAATTGATGGTGCCAAGTCTGCTTTTCTTACGAGACGTGGTGAGCTCTGTTGCACATTTTTAGGCTTTTCAAATTTCGATCTGTTGAAAAACATTGTTTTCAAGCTCCATTTACATATTCGCTGGGGAATAAACATATTAGCAGAATAAGCCCTCTGTGCCCAGTCTTGTCATTAAATACGTCCTTCATTTCTTGTTCCACTGCCTTCACTGCATTACCAATCATTCCCCTCTGCAGTTGCTTCATCTTCCATAACCATTCTAACGTGCAGGTCGTCAATATTCCCAGGTGGAGAGGTATAACATGGACAGAAAATACAACATAGGTACCTAGTTTGGCGACTCAACGGTGTCTAAACGCAGGAACTCTGTCATTTAGAGTTCCTTAGCCAAGTGTCTCACTTCATGAGAGGACGCCCAACGTTTGGCCCATCATACTCCATTCTCTCCCTCCAAGTTTATTTTTGGAACAGCGTACACTGAAAATCTCCTTTGGGTTAGCTAAAAGTGTACAGCATAGCCTACTCCACATGTGTTCTGCTTATCGTGCTCGAACAAAGTAAGCTTCAGCATCACTAAATCGAATTATTTGTGATCAACTGGAAGGAAGACGCCAAGAGCTAGGGCTTGGAGACGAAGATTACACTTTTGGAAAATGTTCATTAGTTACTGAGCAATTTACCAGTTTCTTTTTATCATGACGCTCTGTACAAGTCGACTAGCTACAGCACTTGTACGTATCCACCACGTAGCACAGTGCCAATGCCGCCTTTAAAGCACTACATTATAGTCTGGTTCTTATTGATAGGTCAACACAAAAAGTAGTGATATTATATATTTGACATAATTTGCACAGACTGTTACGATAACCTTTATTCCATTTATTTTCACTCTTTGAGAATATAGGTTATTTGGCAGATGTCGAGAGGCACTCCTCTCAGCGATGGAGATGATTTTATCGTTTTAAAACCGTTCATACATGTACACGAAACAATAAAGTAAATTTTATATCTGTATCTTTACATATACAATTATATTTTCTCATATGACACGAGTGTGCTTCATGACTTGAAAACGTCATTTCTGGCGCATCACTCAACAGTCTGATAATTTCATGACAATTACTAACAATTCGCTTCTGGTTACGTCCTCAAACTTTCAAGTCAGTCTGACTTGAAATTTAGTCTGACTTCAGTCTCTGGGCATGTGAATACTTAACGCTTTATATTAGTCTTTAAGATAATTTCTTATTCGCATTAAATCGTATAGTAGGTGTAGGGGTATGTAGGCCGTGTCCGAAACGGGCTTCCAGAGCTACGGCTAGGTCTATTGTCTACACGTCTCCACGTATTTCCAATGAAGTGAAGACCTAGACCTAGCTCTAGACAAGAGATTCGGATGCAGCCTTAGATTGTGTCCTTTAATTTGTATAAATTGTAGACAGAGTGTGCCTTGGCTGCAACCATGGTGACCGAACGAGTGTCTGAAAGACCTAACTTTCTGGGGGGGGGACTCGTATACACTTTTTAATTACAAGATTACGTTAGTTCTGTGTAGTGTAAACACAGAGCTGACATGTTATATTTGTACCATGGTGAAAACACTTTTAAGAGCCCTGGGGTTATCTTATCTTATCTGGGGTTAAAACTTGAACGTGTTCTGCGAATAGTTGCGCACGCGCACTCACTCTCTCTTTCCACGTTTCTCCGAGACAACTTTACCGACAGTTTGCTCCGAAATTGCCATAGATTTGCAGGGGTTTTGGACCTTCAAAAGTGTTATCTGGAGGCGGTGGCTCATCTGCATTTATTCTGTGTTACCCTGGTGAAGGTTGCACGTACATGTATATGTGTACTGGTACGGAGCCCATCGCTGCATGCACCGGGTGGAGGCTGTCTAGCTGACCAGCTACAGTTGTCCTGAGAGAGGGAGCTGCGTGCTGTGAACTTATTTATCCGGTCCGGGGGAATAAGAATTGGATTTGACTTGGATTTGTTTGATTTAATTTGGACCTGGTTTTGAGCCTTATTTCAACGGATTTGAAGGGGATTTGGCTGGAGTTTGCAAGATTTGCACCTGGGTTTGATTGGGATCTTAACAGAACTTAAACAGGAATAAAACTTGGACTGGAGCGGCACATCTTTGTAATTATTGTCGTCATTTATTTTGGGGTCTTTCAACTGTCTGAATATAAAACCGGGTACACACCCAACATCAGCTTGATAGCACACACTCAAGCTACCCCTGAGGGATGCACCACAAGGCGTGCCTCGATATAGTGTAACACATGCAGTGACTGTTGTGATGTAGGATATGTTTTTACACCTAAGGGACTCATAGCACTATATTTTCTCCACACGGTTCTTGATTTTATAGCTGATTACCTTGCTCTGTTGCTGCGCAGAAAGCTGCACCAAGTGCACGAACTCACGTCTTGATCGATAGCAATTATATCTCTACTTCCAAAACAAACAAACACAAAACAAAACACGTGTGGTAACTTTTCGAAGACACAACCTTCACGTCAATGGCTCTGATGTAGATCTGTCTCGGCTAACAGCTGACTATATCGCTCGTATGCCAGTTCACTGTTCTCATAAGCTCAAGTACCAATGAATGTACGAGTGGTCCAGTTTGTGGAACCTGCATTATAGCTCGCACTTTTGGTGGGGACTGCTCTATGATAACACGATGTTAGATACACAAGGGTAAGGGTAGCACGTGATCGTTCTAGACAAATGAAAATACAGCTAAGACAGAACACAGTCCAGATTAAAATATGCGAGTAACACTTTATTGTGGTATGTCTCATTTTTGTATGCGGATTCATCTAGATAGTACTGGATATATTACGAGTTCGTTGTTATTGTTTTGAACATGTACATTGTACATCTTGTTTGCAACATGATGCGATAAATGGCAGTAGTCATTTAGACACCATCACAAAGCATGCAAAAGGCTTATGTTAAAATATTAAAATGCATTTTACAGGAAACTATGGAGGAAATAATGGGCAGGCAAAAGGAGTGCAGATGTATTAAAATGATTATAATTGCCAAAATGAAGGTGTGTGTGCATCTCAGTACACCAAAGGTCACAGTAAACATAGTAAAGATAAACATTACAAGCAAGAAAATGGAATTAATACTATTTTACTATTATAAAATTAACACAGTTGTTGAAAATTACTGGTGTCAATCCTTAAGGTAAGCTTACAATGATGTTTGAATAATGTTTAAAAGAATTTTTGATTTTCGTTCTCCTACCAAGCTGACAAGCATGTATACTGAAAACCAGCATACATCCGTTGGAAAAAATAAATAAAACTTTCGTGAGACTTCATCTACATTCTCAAACCGAACAATCTAGTCCCAAACCTCAAACATTTAACATACAGGGGAGCACTTGATGTAGGCACCAACAGAAATGCCAGGCATCTGGGCGCCATCTTTCCTTGTATTGTATGGGCTACGCTAGTTATTTTAATACATGTACATGCAAAGACGGTGAACAATGTGCGCTGGCCAGCGAAGGATCTCTCATAGTGTTGTCGTTCTGGTAAGTAAGCCGTTAATCTCTGTTCAGTTGCTTGGGCCAAGTTTCATGTAGCCGAGTAGCAGCCATAATCCAGGTGGATACTGCCCCATTCAGGAGTGTTGGCCTTCATTGCCCGTCCGGGACATATACACCAGCACAGCGAGGCCTATTAAAGTCAACGACTGCATGCAGCCAATCATGACGAAAGCAGCATCGTAGCTACCTGTCTGGTCGTAGATCCAACCTGTGTAGTGAGACAGTAAAGAATGCTTTACATTCTAGAAAGTTTCAAAGCCGATATTGCACGCTGGTGTGAATTGCCGTGGGGTTGAGCGGAGAATAGAAAAGCATTTGACAAGATCGGTGATGTACATGGGCGTCGCCAGGAGTTTTGTTGAGGGGCAGCAAAGCAAAGTCCATGATAATTTAACACAGATTGGTGATTTTCACCTCCTTTCCTCAGTTTGTTTCCAATACAAAGAGCCCCTACACGATTGAACCGTTTAGCTTGTTTCTTGCCAAGTAACAAACATAACTACAAATGAAGTTATGAATATATAAACATTTTCCAGCAACCTTTGAGGTCGAAGCTCTGGTGGTTTCATTTTTTTGGTATGGATGTCGCTTGTATCATCTTGAGAGATTCACCAATTGTGAACTGGGACCGTTTTGCCATTTATCAGATATTAAGCCAGAAATGATACCCTTTTTCTAGTCAGGTGAGTAGGCTGAAAAACCAATTATTAATTTGTTCCACGAAGCCTTCAGCTGTAGGACTCAGACGAAGCACTTCGTGACCCACAGCAACAAAACCTCGCAGTTGCTTGAACTCGCTGTGAAGTCCATAAAACTTTCGACATTCTCTTTTTATGACATTAGTAACACAAAAGCCATACACATTATGCAAGTTCTTACTGGAAGTAATCAGCAGTCAAACTTAAGTATAATTGTTCCTCAAAATATATATTTCTTATGAATCTGGCCATCGAGACACAAATGCATGAACAGCACAAAAAGATTCTGAAGGGAAAAGGTAGTTGCCTAAAAGTCTGAGGCAAAAATCCTCCTCGTAAGCACCATTTGAGGTACAATGAACGTGAGTGGTGAATTTGAGATGAATGACCTACAAGCCCTCATTGGCCTATATCAGCGCATTACACTCACGGTCATGATTCAAGACAAAACTAACTTATATTTGTGAAGGGGGTTCTCCACATTTTCCATATAACGTGAAAAGTGGGTGGCTTGATTTCAAGGGTTTAATAAGTTGATGCATCTGATACAGGCCCAGTAAGCGGGCTTCCTTAGTGATCTGCGTTCTGGCGGACCACTATCCGCAAAGTAACGGCTGGCCATACAAGTGGGCTTCCAGCGGGCAGCTATTGGACAGTGCACATGCATGTATTTCTATAAGACAGTTATCAACAATGTTAACAAGCCAATGTGTTTTAAAGTCATGTAATAAAGTCACGAACTGGAAAACGATTAGATTTAGTCATCGTTGGTGATCTCGGATCATACCTGAAAAATAAGTTAGTATGATTATTAATGTATAATCAGGCTACATCCAATGTCGATAATCTCGATTCTCTTAACCGGTGATCATAAGTTGCGATCACGATCATTACCAAATACCCAGGCTTGAAAAAGCACTGCACTTTGCATTGCTTCGCTCCTCAACTACTACTTACAGTTGATCCAAATAAAATTGTTTCCAGTGCAGTTTTTTGACAAGCTGAGAACAAATGCAAAGTAACACCGTTTCCGTCTGTCCGTCTGCATTTTATATTATAATGTTAAAGTTTTTGCTTATGGGTATATGCATTATACTGTGTATCATTTTTGTTTAGTTTTGTTTATTCAAATCTGATATTAAAATCAATTTCATTGACAGAATATTAATAATGTAGGAGTATTGCTTAAAGTGATTAATAATAAAAAAGAACCCCCGATTGTTAAAGTTGTCAACTCTTCAATGTGCATTTGTAAAGGTATACTGTGTAGTATATACGCCTGCAAGTCTTTTATTCTAGAATTAATCAGCATCAGAAATTTAGTGGAGTGGAAGGGGTGGGATAATTTCTGTACATGTACGTTCTATATTTGCCTTGGATTTGATAAAAAATTTATTTTCAATTCATTTATTGCTGCCATGTTTTATGAAAATCACAAACTCGTCATCACAAAATACTGTAGGTAAATTAAGTACAGATTTACTGCCAGCAAAGTGCAAAGTTTCACATGTTTCTTTGCATGAATTGTTGCATGCAGCTGCAGCCATATATGACAGTTGTGCTCATTAGTTGTGATTATGGATGGCTTGTAATAGAATATTTTATCCACGAGAGCATTAAAAAAAACCTTGCGTTAAGAGTGAAAAAATAGCAAAATTACTCCCACAATGAGCTACATTCCTGTGGAACCAAAGCACTTGCCTCCAAAATGGCAGCCAAGGAAACCGTCTGTTTCTTGTTTAGTATACGTAAAACATTCATTCTAGATGAGCTATTCTGATGTCAGATGGTTGAAAACACAGAGTAAAGTTGACTTGTTTGGCACTTTGCCATGTTAGACAAAGAAAAAAAACAATTAACGTGAATGGGCATATTACAGTGCTAGTCGCATGTAACGTGAAGACACGTAAATTAAACCTGATCCTAAAGTTTTCTTTTCCATATTCAGTAATGGAGTACGATATGTAATAGACATGCAGGAAATTGTTGACAATCTTCTGGGGCAATTTGAAATAGCTCCTCCAAAAGTGCTATTTTTACATCAACACGTTACTGTATATTGTCGCACCTGGAACGAAACCCAATGCAATTCGGACTAATCCCGACTTCAGTCCGATCCAGCCGAAAACATTGTCCAGTTGATCTGTTCCCAGTAACTCTTTTGTTATGACGTCAGACAGGTTAAAGCAAATGCCCGTGAATGGGAGAACCATGACCCCGCAGCATGCGATCTGCCAGTCTGAATTCATCCACGGGTCAATGATCAGGCCTGTGGTGGCAATGAACGCTGCGACACCCAGCAACGGCCGAGAGCTCATCAGACCCCTATCCACGATGGGGCCATGCAGGATTTTCAGGATCAAAGTGGTAGAGCCCGCCAGTGTGACATAAAGAGCCGCATCTTGTAGGGCCACACCTTTGGCAATAGCGTGGGGCACAAAGTAGATGCGCCATAGGCCTGAAGTTACGTGCGTCCCTGTGGAAATAACCACTGCTATCCAATAGAAAGGATTGGTGAATAGGTCCATAGTGGAACTTGTAGTCTTGTTTTCACAAAGCGGTTTCAACTCGCTAGACCGTTTGCAACCCGGCGGATTTTTGGCGAGAGTTAGAAGTGGTGACGTTTCAGGCTCTCCTTCATCAGTATGCTTGTACCTTTTTAGAAGGACACCGCATGGGGCAAGATGAAGGCAGACAGCGCCTATGATCAGCAGGTTGCCTCTCCAACCGTAGGTGGTCAGACATAGTTCAGTTAACGGTGGGATGACCACGAAAGCAAAAGAGTCACCTGTCTGGGCCCAGCCGCTGGCCATCACGTACCGCTTACTGAAGCTTGCCCCGATGACTTTCCGCGCTAAAGTGCTAACTACACTGATACCGAGACCTAAAGAGGGAAAAAGAGTAAAATGTGTCGGTTGTCATTGATGAAGTATTGAAATTTACCTTAAGGATATATTTGGTTGCTGAATGTAATGAAATTTCTTTCAGTGAATAAAACGGGTAATATGGGTAATATTCAGTTCATCTTTTTTCAGACTCAAATGATTAGAGATTTTGCTGTTTCAATTCAATACAAAATTTGTGCATTAATGCCACAGCCACTTTCAGCTGTAAGTTTTATTTGGGTTGTCAATACTTAATCCTATGCCGATTACCAATGATTAGGCAAACCGGCCAAATCACTTGACCAACACACTACTTAACACTTAGCACACAGTCGTGCACCGTTTCGGATATGTGATAAATTTTGTTGAAGATTGTCTCGTGAATATATCTGCATAACCTCACCTGCAGTAATCGGTAAAATAAAGGCGAGTTGGATAGCGCTGGTGGCAAAGGAAGAAGCGATGATTCCACTGCCGATTAAGAGTCCACATGCCACCACGATACAACCAGAGCCAAAGCATTTAGACAGAGGATACGTAAAGGTTCCTAAATTAAAAAAGAAAAAGAAATCAGTGATATTGTCTTCAATGTCAAGTTTGAGGCTAAGGTTAACGGTGTCTGTGTGGAGTTTTACATTCCATTAGACCTACCGGTATATGAGGATAATGGAAAAGTTCCTTGAAGTCAGTGTGCAAACGAAATTATCGGCGACAAAGATAGAGGGTGGGATGAAACTTGAATGCTGTTGCCATATTGAGTACATTTCCAGGTCTAGTTCGATTGTCATCGGTTGCCAAAAGGTAGACATAGGCTGTCTCTTGACCTAGTCATAACCCACTGAAGCCCTTTTTTCAAGATGTATTTTTTGGTGACTTTTTGAGTCGACTTTTTGTGACTTTTTCGCAAGCTCTCTGACAAGCACTGAGCATACAGTGTTTATTAATATATACGTTGCGTAAGGGCAAAACCCGTTATATAAATCACTGAAGCCCGCTCTCCGACACCAATGCGTGCGCGTAATGTGTTGGCGCTAATTAATGGACAGCGGGCTGGATGAATGATTTTTCCTGTTAACGGAAAGACCAGAGCTCACAAAGAGGTTGGCAGGAAACGCATTCATGCTTGTCTTTTGGTTTAATAACGCTGCCTTAAAGAGGACATCGTTGAGAGTCACATGTTGCGTCAGACATTGCTAAAACTGGGGCTTATTGTTGCTAAATGCAACAATTAGCATTGGTGCCAGTTTTAGCAATGCCGGTGTAAAATACCAGCATAATAACGCACACGTCATTCAATAGCACTAATAAACCAACACTCACGGGTCGTTTTAATCCAAAACACCTGTTTCCAATCAATAGGACTCGTTTCAAACTGGCACCAATGACCAAAGTTTGATCTCAACTCAGTAATTATTAAATGACGTGTAACTTTCAGTGTTCAGGTCTTGTATTCTTTGTTTAATTGTTTGGTGTCTGTGAAGCACCACAGCAGAGTCTAAAATTCAAGCAGACGTGAATCTCAGCAAATTTGGATTTTTAATGTTAAGAAATAAAAGAACAGTTGTCAGGGTTTTTACCAGTTTCTGGTCCAGTTTCTTAATATTTACCGCAGGTTAAAGGAAAAAGCCCATATTATCCGAGATGATCCAAGGAGAATTGTAGTTTCCCAAAGCGAAGCAGGAAAATGGAATGCTCCTTGGATCCCTATTTAAGGCTATAGTTTTACTAAACCACGAGATAAGGCAGTTAATATTTGGTTTATAACACCTTTCCCACAATTCTGCTTCATTAACTTGTTTTTACTACATATCAAAATATGTGTTAATAGTAAATTTTTTGAAAATTTAAAAGTACATGTACTTTTCCAAACTACCTTCTTACACAATAGGCCTATGCTAACCCAGCTCTTAGCGCCAGCGCTTCAGAATATGCGTGACGCGCAACGGGCACACTAGTACGCATTTGCACCCATCCTCGACTCCATGGCTGCGTGCGCGTTCATTTACTAGCCCCTGGTCGTGTAGAACACGTAAATGACGCTGACTGGCTATTCAGGATGAATATATATGATGTAAAGTCGGTCGCAAGCGAGTTTCAAAAATTGCACGCTTGCGCCCACGTATTTTCTTGCACGTCACGCACGCGTACATCTGCGTCGCTCGTAAACACGCTAACTAAGGTCCTAATTTATATATCCCCTATAATAAGGGGCGTTCGATTAGCTTACACGTCTAAGTCAAACTTAAGCTGCATCCGAATCTCTTGTCTAGAGCTAGGTCTTGGTATTCACTCCATTGGAAATGAATGGAGACGCGCAGAGAATAGACCTAGCCGGAGCTCTGAAAGCTCGTTTCGGGCACGGCCTTAATTACACGAGAGCGTTCATTTAGCCATCACACGATCTTCGTGCCTTTTCCCAGAATGCCTTGGCGAATACACTGTAGCGTTCAATTAGCCTCATTCGGGGCTTCCCTTGGTGTAACACTGGTGTATTCAGGGAAGCCAATCGAACGCACGCGTAGCAGGATATTTAAATTATAGGCCTACACTACCAGGGGTTAGATCGCGCAAGGCATGATGGGAACCAACATGGCACGGCAAGATCGTTCCAGTGGGAACGATGTTAATTTGCACCCAATGCCAGTGGTCATATGCGTGGAGTTCTTTTGTTGCAAAGGGTATAGTTCTTTTGGCTGTGCATAAGGAGACAGCTAAAATTGTGTAGTGCCCTGTGGTTACGTGACCGCCCTGATGGGATGAGAGCTAATTAATTATGCAGCCCACATGCCACATTGTACCTTATGCGGACAGAACCTCAACATCCACTGTAACAAATAGTCCCTCTGAGTCCACATTTCATTCCTTCAGTTAGGTTATACTGCTTTATTGATCCTTGAGTGTAAATTACTTATTTATAAAAACTGTTTCGTTGATAATCAATGCTGATTCCAGTGTATGCAATGGTTGAGGGTAATTACACTGGGCGTTTTTATGTATGGCGGAGTAATACGGCTTTGTGGCTGTGGGCGTTCGGCGCTCTCGAACTTTCCAGAGTGCTGTCTTTCATCCCCACTGCGAACTGAACAACGCCCAGGTAAGAAAGTTGCCCCCGAATTCCTTGCTCTCTGTACCTTTTCCAGGTTATGTACCCTCACTAGACTTCTATCATTGTGACCACTGATCGCCATAGGGCATATTAGTTAGTGTTATACTTGAGGCTAATGACATTTTAATTCATTTTGGGAATGTTTTCTTAATTTGTGGGATTCCTTCACAATAAATTTCTGTGCCTCACACGTTACGCATAAACAATTCATGTCACGTTGCGTCAATGCGGTAGACCTCGTGTGTAACGTACGCGCTGTTCATTGTAACACAGCGTATACGTGGGACTGCTCTTTATCGGCGGGGCATGACAACATCTCCGTGGTTAACTTTTTAAGTTGAGTGGGCTTTCTAGAATTATACAGTGTACATTCCAATGCAACTATATACAGTATGCTGATGGTATATAGGCGCCGTTTATATACCCGTACTTGTACTGTTTGTCTTTTGACAGCAGCTCGAGACTTTGGGGGCTTAATTGTATGCATGCTCAGTCCGTCCCCAGTAAACCTAGCTCTAGAACTCATCACTGTCTGAGCATGGAGCTATCAAACACAAGGAGTTAGAACGAAGTCCCTACAGACCGTAATCCGATTAACTGCTCCGGTCGGCTCCATAGAGAAAGCACGGTTACCAGCCCCAGTGTTTGAGACCCTAGACATTCTTTGCATACAGTGATCGCCACCGCTAGGTAGCTGGTTAGGGTGCACCCTCGTATTCAGGCCAGAAATGTGTCCGCCGAGCTCATTAATAAAAGTCATTCACTCAAAATATTCTATATTAGAGTGTCCTGAGAGCCATGGAACTGAGGAATTGAAGAAATATGAGACTGGACCTCTGGGCCGGACTCAGGGCTTCCAATTCTGAGCATTTGGATGCAATCGGGTCCGAAAGTGGCACTATTTGAGCCATTTTGCAGAGGGATGGTTTTTCAAAATGGCTACTTTTCTGGACAGGGACATTTTCTGCATTTTAGGGGTGGTCTGCTTCTGGTGAAAATTTCTCAAAAATTCATTGGGCAACCCCCCCCCCCAACGATTGAAAGGAAAATGAAAGAGGACACATGGAACATCCTTTTCCTGTGTAGCCTGAACACCTGTGAGAGTTGTATTTTTTTAAATACTTGTGAAGTATGGGGATTTATCACTGCTGTCTATGGGAATTTATTTCTAGTGGTGCACCCGTAACCCACAGACACACCGTGTTTCGCTTCGGCATACTGGAGTAAATAAATGGCGCAAAAGATGCACGAAGAAGATGCGCAGTTAATTCTCTGCAGAAGTCCTCGGGAGTCAGCAAATGATCTTCGCAGATGCGCTCGAAAATTCCTATAATGAGCGGTGCTTATATGGCAAAAGTCCGACGTTTTTAAAGTCAGTTATGACATTTTGCGTTTCCGACGGTAGAGAACCAATACCCAATATATGAACTGCAAAGTTTATATCATAAGTCGCAATCCTAGTGGTTCCTACGGTTAAAAGAAGGTGGAAACATGCTGAAGGAATGCATTTGGCAACGTGGTGAGGTTTCATGCCGAGACAGTTTTGGACAATGACAGAAAGGACAACGAATGTGTGTTTTTTATTTTACTCTGGATCAGCTACATTCTCTCAGTTTTCTTGTGCGTATTTGTGGAGAATTTGTATTAGTTAGTAGTTCTGTTTATTGTTAAAAGAGACGTTTTGGGGATGTAAACACGTAACCAGACTTTCATTGTCATTGGAATATCACAACAATCACTAAAATTATCGAAATTTAAGTCTCCAATTACGGTGGTTTCCGTCCCAAGGCGGCCATGTTGAACACGTGGGAAGTGTTACGGATACGCATGCGCGGTACCCATGCTCTTTTGCAAACGCAACTCCGAGCATTCCTTATAGCCCGCAAGCGGCGCGGAATTCGTTTGGTCCTTGCAACACGTGCAGTGCTGGCGGTGACTATCATTAACCCTTTTGATCTTTGTATGCACTGACTCCTTGTGTTCAATAGCGCCATGGTCTTAGCTACCACACCGGGGTAATTTATCAAAGTGCATATGTTATATTTCAGTTACATGTTTTGCAAGACCACAAATTTTGTAACTCTGAGAATAATAACTATTTTGTGACCTTATTGTACGTGTACTTTGTATGCAACATTTCTTTAGTTTAAACAGTGCTGAAATGAGACTGATGAGCAGTGTTGGAGTCGAGTACTCAAATCTGAGTACAGAGTACTCCAAGTACGTGTACTTCAGGGGCCGACGGTCCTGGGCCGAGTCCAAGTACACTGGTGACAAGTCCGAGTCCAAATCTCCGAGTCCGAGTACAATTACAAAGCAGTACAATAAGCGAATAAGTAAATAATTAAAACTGAATGACACAGGCACGTGGTCTTCATGCAACACAAATCTGCAATATTATGTGGATATTCACACCTTTTATTCATGTGAAAATGGCGATGTGTGACAGGCAATGATTATTTTTACCGTTTCTAAACAAACAATATGGCTTATGAATTCCTGTGCAGAAACCTTTACCAAAGACTTAATTAAGTACATAAGGAAACCCCGAGATATCAAAAGTGAGCAAAAAAGCAATAAACCTTAAAAAAGATATGTAATGAAACAGGAGCCTTACCCAGTCACCTGATAACCTGCTATTAAAACCCCAATGACCAAGACAGAGACCCAAACCTTAACCATCGATGCCAAGACTAAGATCAGACTAAAACCTTGTAGCTGAATCACAGAAAAAAACATGAGCTTTGAAGAAATGGCTTGAAAGAAATCTGAATGCACCTCAGGTTCAATTATAACTACCGGACACTTATTTTCATGTCAATGGTAACAGTGCCCTCTGAACTGGAATGATAAAAGAATGTTTACTGATACAGGAAACGCTTCACTCTATGGTCTTATAAACTAATAAGAAATCAATTTTTCTGAAGTTACGCTTCAAGAAAACAGGACTGGAAAGCACCTTGCTCGTGAGGCGGCTGCGATGGGGCCGCAGGAAAATACCACCTGTGCTGAATACCTGCTCTGGAGGCGTGATGCAACCACTGCGAGAGCTTGCTTTGCCAAAATGAACAGCCTTGGCAGAGATTTCTGATGACAATGCCAAAGGGCAGGAGGGTCGTCAGTGAAATCTTGGTCTTGGCACAGATCCAAGTAGCGGTCAAACTCAGCAGCAGTACTGCCCACTCGCCCACTCCGATTTCTTCTCCTGGTCAGTCCAGCAAGCAGGCGTGGCACTTTCACTGTGTATGGACCTTGGTCGCCTCCTTCGCTGTCAGTCTAGAATCATGGATGTCTGCCACTGGAAGTGTCTCTATGTCTGCAAATGAACATAACTTGAAACAATTTTACAGTGAGAGAAAAGAAAGTATTTCCTGCTTTTAAAATATCTGAAATAAAAGTGCTAAATGTTCTTGTGTGACAAGTTTAAAAGCCGGGCACATTTTGGAGTAGGCTTGCCATATCAACCATGTCAGTTAACCAAAAGTGACCAGGCCCCGTATGGGACTCTTTCCAAAGTAAAGAATATCATCACCATGGAGCTATACATGAAGCTTTGGCCTGTCAGTGTACATGTACTTACGCAGTTGGATGCTTGCGACGGAGATACTTGTTGAAGTTGGACATTGTCCCACTTTGATCTGATATTCTTGATTTGCAGATCTTGCACACTGCACTGTGTTACTTTTTCCCGCTGATCTTCTCATAGTCCCATTTAATTATATATGAAATCGGCGACATATTCTGTTGCAGCAGTGCCGAGTTTTCATGGCCGTCTCGTGAGGGCACGCTTCATAAAAAGGCCACGCTTAGCGCTAACGCCTCGGTGTATACAAGTTAACAGAATTCAGAACAGGGTTTCAAATCAGCAATCATCATACATCCTAGGGGGTTCAGAAGTATTCAGTTGGGTAAGTTATCATTTGAAATCTTTATTCAGTCAAGGCCATCTTTCAAACAAATAATGTTGCCGTTTATATGGGTTATTTATCTAAAATTTACTATAGGTTATTACGC